GTCAGTTGGCTATGGAAGACTATGGTCAACATTGCCATACGTGCACTAAATGCATGTCCTAGTGGGGTCAACATACTATGAATTCGTAATGGGTACCTTGTATTGAGTTGTTAATTGAAAACAAAGGTTTATGATGGAAGCAACTGTACTTAATTCAACAATGCAAACTTCCCAGTCTCATTGAACTATTAACTGAAAAAGTATGGAGAGCCACAGCACATTATGACGGGAGCACAGTATGGCATCTGCACACCATAGACAGGGCTTCTGAGAAGCACAGCGTCTGCACACCATAGACAGGGCTTCTGAGAAGCACAGCGTCTGCACACCATAGACAGGGCTTCTGAGAAGCACATGCTTACTTACCCCTGGTTTTAAAACCATTCCAGAAGTAAGCAGTTTCCAGCATTTTATACTTTTCTCCAGCCTAAGCAACACAAACCAGTCTCCGTTGACACTACACACCATCTAAAAGTTGATTTCCTCCCCTGATTGCAGGGACAGGAATCCCATCTATTTTGTTTATAAAGACTGTCCCAGTCTCTGGAATTTCAACCCTGTAAACATTGTGAAGATGACACAGAGCTTGGAAGTACTCACAACCCAATCATAGAAAACTTGAAATGTCCATAGTAATAGGGGAAAAAAACATTTATAATAAATAATGAACTTTTGTATATATTTATATGAATGAGGTCTGCTGAAAAAGGACTATAAGCCAGCAAAACTCAATGCATGGCACAGCTCTTTATAAAAAGCGTATTGCCTCAAACGTGTAGAGTCTAACTTAGGAGCAAACAGCTCAGCTCTTGGGTCTCTCAGATGGTGATGTGGAAAGAGTCTTGTAGCCAGGAGTCCTTGCTAGTCCCATTTTTGGGAGATGTTGCCTCACTTCCCTCCGGTTGGTCAGTTGGTGTTGTGCTGGTCTCCTGGTAGTATTCATCATCTTCGTCAAAGTAGCCGTTCTCTATCCCGTGCCCGACGCTGAGGTCCTGGCAACTGCCCTTGTACTCTTGGATTGACTCATGGAGGGACCAGAGCTGACACAGCAAAGACATATCCTGCTGACGCAATCCCACCTGGAAAGATAAAAATGATACTAGAATTATTTTAAGATTTCCCAAACAGGTGCTTGATACTATACTTAGGCCTAAACGTTAGCAATTTGACAAAAGTTGGTGCTTCATGCCTTTAACTAGAAATTTTTCTTTTATTCAATTAAGCAGAAATATTTTATGGGATAAAATATTAATTCCATAGGAGGATAGGCCTACAGTAAGGCTGGAAGAAAGTTTGCTTTGTAAGCTTTCAAAGACATACTCCTACTGAAATCTTCACACAGATCAATGGAGTATAGATTGTGTAGGCTATCAAATGAAACCAAACTGACATGGTATGAATGTAGGCTATCAAATCCTACAAACAACAATGTATAAATGTTTCATTGTTGTCACCGTTACTGGCTAGCGTTGCAAATCTTATCACACAGAAATTGGCAACTGCCAGTGTAAAATTGCTGGTTTACATGTTTCAGCCGACCAAAAAGAGCTAGGATACTAATTAGACCATGAAGTAATTAACAGTAATGGAGTGATTTCTTGATTCTGTCTGAACAGCTGTTGCTCTCATTTCACAATTTTGCCTCAAAATTCCCTCCCTCCTGTTTGCAATCATTAATTGATCACCTCCCCTCCACTTCTTACCATTTCTTTTCGGAGGAGTGCTAAAGCCGCATCAAGGTTGGCCGGTTTATTTGCAAGCAGGTTGTCTGAATTGTTTCGCCCACGGCTAAGGTCGTCTTGGATCATGGTTTTCTTTGCATACATCCTCTCCATCTCTCTCCAAGACCCGCCGCTTGAATTCAGCAAGCCGCTTAGGCTCTTTGGCAGTGGGGGTAGCCCCTCAATGGAGGCCAGTGTTCCGCCCGCTGTGCCGTTCGCGGATTTACCGTTCATCGTTATACCTTTTTTTTTCTCAAACAAATGCAATACTTTTAGTTTTAGTCGTTATAAATCACCACATTCAGGAATGAAAAGCACATCTCCGACGAACAACATGCAACAGCCGTTGACGCCAAACAACAGTAATCTTCTCCTTTCGAGCTCTGGCTAACTCGCACTTCCTGTCCCTTTAACACAGTTCCAGGCTGATTGGGCGTCACCCGCAGCGACGGACAGGAAAGGGTGGTTGAATATTCATAACCTAATACCAGAGTGTTCTTTGTTTGTTAGAGTACGCGTTCAAGTGCTAGTCGGAATTAGGAAACTTGGAAATGTACGATTTGCAACTGGTTGTAGTTAGACACGTGCCGCGTTCAACCAGTTAGCAAATCGGAAATTTCCGAGTTTGCTAGTTCCGACTAGCGCATGAACGCGGCATTATTCCTGAAGTAAATCACAGCTCTACATTTACATTACATTTTACAGTATGTGGAGTGATTTAATTAATAAGACAGTTGTAATGAGCCACCACCAAATAGCCATCATTCAACATTTTATCAAATTAAAGTTCTCAAGCTTATTTTCTTTAGGATAAAGGAACACTTAGAAAAGAAACAAACTTGACATGTGCCACATGAATACCACTGACTGAGAATAGTACAACAGGCTAGCGTTGCAAATCTTATCACACAGAAATTGGCAACTGCCAGTGTAAAATTGCTGGTTTACATGTTTCAGCCGACCAAAAGTGATTTACTGGCGGTGGGTGAGGTCATCATGACAAGTATGTGTCTGCAGAACAAAGGTGTCAGTATGAAGGACAGATGGTGGGCTTTCCATCCATGGTCCTGCATCACTAACAACAGCCCCTCAACAAAGAGAGGAAGCCCAACCCACAGAGGCACATGTGGCCTAAACAATGGCAGATGTAATTGAAAAAGCAAGGTCTCAACAACTGACATGTCATTTTAAATGTGGAAAACAAAAGAATGTATGTATTCCCTCACTTAAAACACATTTTATACTATTTTATATGAATTGGCAGTGCATCAATATGAGTTGAAATGAACTCAAAATGAGTTTTTAAATTGTGTACAGTCAAGACAAGGACAGTTAGTGACTACCCCATAAAGCCTTCATAATCAACATGAGTGCTGGTGCCTTTTGACTGCAGTGCACTCAAGCTGAAAGGATCATGAGTCTACCCGAGGACACATTAAATACAGGCTAGAGATAACGAAAAAAACAAAAACAAATATATGCACTCACTATCTGTAAGTCGCTCTGGATAACAGCGTCTGCTAAATGACTAAAATGTAAAATAATGGGATGCAACACATTTTAGTGCTGCTCATTTATCTGTCTTCTTCCTAAAATCCATAATATGCTACTTATTTGTCATTGTGCTAATTGTCTGGGTTGTCCTCAGTATCTTGCAGGTCAGGAGGAGCAGAAGTTGTGACATATAGCTGCCTGCCTTATTGTTGGTCTTTGACTCCTTGAAATCTGCTGCCCTTCCTCTCTTCTACGACATTTAGCTCACCCCACTGCCCCTGCACCTTCCTTCCCTAAATAACATATGCCTTGCTTTTACATTTACATTGTAGTCATTTAGCAGACGCTCTTATCCAGAGCGACTTACAGTTAGTGAGTGCATAATTTTTTTATTCAAGGATAAAAAGAGCACCATTGGTATTAAATTGCACAAGCACTTTGTCTTTACGGAAACTGTCATTGCTCTCTTGGCCCGTCTAGTTATGTCCTCATAAAACCATCCTGTACTCTTTGAATGTGAATCAACAGACCTTTCTCGTCGGTGGTCTATGCCCTTGGAGAGGCAGGAAATCTATTCAAAAGCATCTGAGCATGTATGGGTATTGAAGTATGTGTCCGAGAATTCTGTAATTTTTCAGTCAATTTAATGAGTTTAGTGATATGATGAAATGGTATTTGAGACTGTCTTTTTGATTTCTATTAGTCTGCCATTGTAGTTTTACATTGAGGAGGACTATGAAAAGGCACATTCAGCCAGATGATACTTAGGGTATTGTAAGAACATTACATTTTTTAAATAAAACTGAATCCCTTCATACACATTACTATTAAAACATGAACATTGGTCTTATTTTGGCAGAAAGAAAATAGTTGGATGGGCTAATTTCAGAATGTCTGTGTACAGGTGCAGTGATCGGTAAGCTGCTCTGACAACTGACGCTTAAAGTTAGTGAAGGGGATAAGAGTCTCCAGCTTCAGAGAGTTTTGCAGTTCGTTCCAGTCATTGGCAGCAGAGAACTGGAAGGAATGGCGGCCAAAGGAGGTGTTGGCTTTAGGGATGACCAGTGAGATATACCTGCTGGAGCGCAGACTACGGGTGGGTGTTGCTATGGTGACCAGTGAGCTAAGTTAAGACAGGGATTTGCCTAGCAGTGATTTATAGATGACCTGGAGCCAGTGGGTTTGGCGACGAATATGTAGTGAGGGCCAGCCAACAAGAGCGTACAGGTCACAATGGAGGGTAGTATATGGGGCTTTGGTGACAAAACGGATGGCACTGTGATAGACTACATCCAATTTGCTGAGTAGAGTGTTGGAGGCTATTTTGTAAATGACATTGCCGAAGTCAAGGATCGGTAGGATAGTCAGTTTTACGAGGGCATGTTTGGCAGCATGAGTGAAGGAGGCTTTGTTGCGAAATAGGAAGCCGATTCTAGATCTAACTTTTAATTGGAGATGCTTAATGTGAGTCTGGAAGGAGAGTTTACAGTCTAACCAGACACCTAGGTATTTGTAGTTGTCCACATACTCTAGGTCAGACCCGCCGAGAGTAGTGATTCTAGTCGGGTGGGCGGGTGCAAGCAGCTTTCGGTTGAAGAGCATGCATTTAGTTTTACTAGTGTTTAAGAGCAGTTGGAGGCTACGGAAGGAGTGTTGTATGGCGTTGAAGCTCGTTTGGAGGTTTGTTAACACAGTGTCCAATGTGCCTTGGTCACAGTGCTGTTGGGTTTGTAAACCCTAGCAGGTGAACCATTGATGTTGAAAAATGCCTTGGTGTTGCTGACATTTTTTAATAGGGGGTTTCTGTCCTCTGAAGGGACCATGGGCTCCCCCTGCTATGGAGGTTGTGGTGCTCCCCTTTTCTGTGGGATAATCAGTTGATTCCGTTAGCTGTCACCTGAGCTGGAGGAGACAGCACAAGTCTGGGAGACACAGGAGTAGTGAGGGGTTTTGTGGGACTGTTGACAAGAGATTTCTGAGTTGATGATGGTGAACTCTCTCCAAGCAAAAAGCCTTTGCTACTGAATGGAATGATATTCCTTATATCCTGTAAACCAGAGCCTGAGACCAAAGCATAGGAAATCAAATGTAGATTCAAGAAGACACATTCACTAAGCCATATTTTGAATTGTAAATAATATTACTACTCTCAGCATTCATTAGATGAGAAAGAGACATGTATTACCTGCAGTAGATGTGCTGGAAGCCTTGCTCTTGCTTGTGGGCTTGTCTGTAGGCTTCTTGTCTTTGCTGGTGTCTATCTTGCTTTCGCTGTTGTCTGTCTTCCTGCCTTTCTTTCCATAACCCTCTGGCTCCTTGACCTTTGTATAGGTGCCCCCACAGGAGCGCAGGTGATCCCCCCACCATGTGTCTTGGGCTGAGGGGGCACGGTACATTGCCCTCTTCACATATCCAAAGTAGGGCTTGCGAGTCTGACAGGGCCTCTCACACCGCCACCAGTACTGACGGTAGAGATCTACTTCATCATGGAAAGTGTGATAGACCTGGTGGAACACAGTTGATTCTGGAATCAGAGACATTAACACAAAGTACACTTTCACAGTTGACATTGTGGGGACACTGAGCAGAACTTACTGTGATTTTAGTTCCAGTGGCTTGGTTGATTCTGTCCATGTGCTTGCAGAACTCAGGCCCATTCCCATCATGATCTCTGTTGTTTTGAGTCACGAAGAGCAGTGCATGGATCATCTCATGCAGAAGTGTCTGGAATAACAGGGTATTTTCATGTTATGCTATACTGAAGAAATTACATCAGCTACATTGCTTATGTTATATCTTATACAATTGCCATCAATTTGAGAAGTTTCAGGTTGGTTAGTCAAAGTACCTGTACAAGATCCCGACGGGGTCTAAGTTTCAGTAAAGGCTCACTAAGTCAAATAGAACACAGTCCACCTCGTCCTTCGTAAGAACACACCTGCACACCTACAATTGAAGATTGTATGACGAGACAGGTATTGAATAATGGAAAATTAACCACAGGAAAGCAATCACATGGACCAGTTATAGCCATGACAGCCAAAGTTCCCACACGCTTTACATTCTGAAAGTTGATGGGCAGCCATTATTCTAATGTATGAGATATAATCATAAACACATTTTTCATATCAGATGGTTGATACAACAATGTGAATCGTTCAGACTTACAGTGTCATTCGGGGGCTCCATTTGACTTCCACACCACTGAGCTTTCCCCAGAAGAACGTGTCATCGAACTCCAGAAACATGGCCCTCACGTAGACTTGGGTCAAACACCTCCCACGACTCATCCACAATTGACATTGGTCTCTTGGGGGCAACAGATGGATGTAAATAGAATGACATTGTTGCTGCTAGGCTCAACTTTCAGTTTTTTGCTGGTTTGGCCATAGTTATCATCAGTTGGTGTGTATAAGGATGCCTCGAAGTCAAACTGCTCCTGCAGCTGAATGGCAAGCACAAAATCTTCGTCCAAGTTCAACTAGCTAGCTACTGGAGTTGAAAAGATAATTCAACTTAGATGGATACCTACACTGAACAAATATATAAACACAAAATGCAACAATTTCAAAGATTTTACTGAGTTACAGTTCATATAAGGAAATCAGTCAATTGAAATAAATTCATTAGGCCCTAATCTATGGATTTCACATAACTGTGAATACAGATATGCATCTGTTGGTCAGATACCTTAAAAAAAAAAAGTAGGGGCGTGAATCAGAAAACCAGTCCGTATCTGATATGACCACCATTTGCCTCATGCAGCGCGACACATCTCCTTCGCATAGAGTTGATCTTTAATTTTTTTGTCATTTAGCAGACGCTCATATCCAGAGCGACTTACAGTTAGTGAGTGCATACATTTTCATACTGGCCCCCTGTGGGAAACGAACCCACAACCCTGGCGTTGGAAGCGCCATGCTCTACCAACTGAGCTACAGGGGACTGGCTGTTGATTGTGGCCTATGGAATGTTGTCCCACTCCTCTTCAATGGCTGTGTGAAGTTGCTGGATATTGTCGGGAACCGGAAAACACGCTGTCGTACACGTCAATCCAGAGCATCCTAAACATGTTCAATGGGTGACATATCTGTTAAGTATGCAGGCCATGGAAGAACTGGGACATTTTCAGCTTCCAGGAATTGTGTATAGATCCTTGCGACATGGGGCAGTGCATTATTATGCTGAAACATGAGGTGATGGCGGCGGATGAATGGCACAACAATGGGCCTCAGGAGCTCGTCACAGTATCTCATTCAAATTGCCATCGATAAAATGCAATTGTGTTCGTTGTCCGTAGTTTATGCCTGCCCATACCATAGCCCCACGGCCACCATGCAGCACTCTTGTTCACAATGTGACATCAGCAAACCGCTCGACCACACAACGCCATACACGTGGTCTGCGGTTGTGAGGCCAGTTGGACTTACTGCCGAATTCTCTACAATGAAGTTGGAGGCGTATTTTAGGTAGAGAAATTAACATTAAATTATCTGGCAACAGCTCTGGTGGACATTCCTCAATACTTGAGACATCTGTGGCATTGTGTTGTGTGTCAAAACAGCACTTTTTAGAGTGGCCTTTTATTGTCCCCAACACAAGGTGCACCTGTGTAATGATCATGCTGTTTAATCAGCTTCTTGATATGCCACACCTGTCAGGTGGATGGATTATCTTGGCAAAGGAGAAATCAGGAATGTAAACAAATTTGTGCCCAAAATTCACATAGAAATAAGCTTTTTGTGCGTATGGAAAATGTATGGGATCTTTTATTTCCGCTCATGAAACATGGGACCAACACTTTACATGTTGCATTTATATTTGTGTTCAGTGTAGATTAGCTAGATTGGTAGTACTCATTATAATATCGTTGTCCTATAACGTTGACTAGCTAGCTCGCTTTAGTTAACGTTAGCTGGCTAATGAATGCACCAAAACCCAATGCAGCTGATTTGGAGCTGGATAGCTCTAACTTTACCGACTGTAATCGTGGTCTGATAAATATTATTGTTATATATCTACGTAAGCTTACCTCAATATCCAGCTCAAGTTAAATATAGATTAATGTTGGTTATTTTTAGGTTGTAAACTACAGCAAATTCGCTCCTGTTCAAAATAAGTGTAATTTCAGTCTATGGTGCTTTTGGGAATTCTGGGATACGTTATTCCTCCACAGAGATTCCACTAGTTACCACAGCCACAAAGTCAAAATGGCTATATTGTAAAAAATAAAAATAAGATATGAACACACAAATTCGGTTTTTGTTCTTAATTTAAGGTTAGGCATAAGGTTAGCAGTGTGGCTGAGGTTAAGGTTAGGTTTAAAATCACATTTTAAGAAATGTGTTTATGACTTTGTGGCTGAAGTAACTAGTGATGACCCTCTACAGTAGCACTCGCGAATAAATGTTGTCCAACTAAACAGTTACTCGGGATTTTGCATAAAACTTACACTGAAATAAAATAAAACGTTCAACCGAATATTGAGTGTCATTTTCATCTCTCAATATCAATACAACTTCGATGACTGAGCACACCATTTATTTTATGATCCAATGCATTTCTTTTTTAAACCATACCAGAGAGGAATAGGTGAAGCGAGATGATATACTCTGCCCAAAATCTGTCCACGAAAATAACACCAAGTGAAGATTTTTTGTATGGAGGTCAATGAGAGTGTCGAATTTGGTCAACAACAAAAAAATAAACTTTATATCGGAGTTGTGCCTATTGTACACGTGAGTATCTGCCCTCTCATTAGCTATAATGGTCCCACCTGATCTCACAACCTCCTGTCTGCCTTCCATCTTTAAGGACATGTATTTCCATTGTTAGAGCGATCACGCGACTATCTTGTCAATATCATCGAACATCTTTGACCAAACTACATATTTTGTTGGCCACCTAGTCTCCGGACGGCTCGTGACGTTTTGGGTGTTAACCTATTTCCTCTTCCTGACTGTTAGCACTGTGCGGCTAAAAAAAAACAAGCCGGTCGGCAGTCGTTCTCACCTATTTCTGGCTATTATTACTGTTCTAGCACATGTTTTTAATCTGAAGAATACAATTTATAACGTTGGAGATGACAGACCAGGCGAACAGACTGCGCAAGCAATTGGAATCAGCTAATTTCGACCCGCAAAATTATGTCAAGCATCTCTCACAACAGTCTGATGGCGACAGAGATTTGCAGGAACATCGTCAAAAAATACAGACCCTAGCAGATGAAACGGCTCAAAACCTGAAGAAAAATGTCTACAAGAATTACAGACAGTTCATCGAAACTGCCAAAGAGATTTCGTACCTGGAGAGTGAGATGTACCAACTGAGTCATATTTTGACAGAGCAGAAAAGTATCATGGAGAGCATTACCCAGTCTTTGCTCTCAACAGATAAGGATGAAACGGCAAAGGAGATGCTGGCGGCATTCCCCAAAGAGACAGAGGAAGTGAAACAGAGAACACTGACTACACTGCTTGAGAAAGTAGAGGGGTGCAAAAACATTATGGACACCCCAGGCAGGTATTTAGTGTACAATGGCGACCTGGTTGAATATGATGTGGACAACATGGCACAACTTCAAAAAGTGCATGCCTTCCTGATGAATGATTGCCTTCTCATTGCCACCTGGTTAGCGAATCGCCACGGTACAGTGAAGTACAAATACAATGCACTGTATGATCTGGAGAGCTTTGCAATCGTCAACGTGAAGGACCACCCCCCAATGAAGGACATGTTCAAAATCCTGATGTTCCCTGAAAGCCGCATATTTCAGGCAGAGAACAGCAAGATTAAAAAGGAGTGGCTGGAGATCCTTGATGAGACAAAGAAAAATAAAGTGACTAAAGAAAAACACAAGACAGAAGAGGTAGAGGTTCCCAATTCACCTGTGAGACCAGAGGCCTTGGTCTCAACCAACCCTTTTGATGACGAAGAGACCAACCCTTTTGACTCAGAGGAGGCAGTGGATCTGGGCTTGGAGTGGATCCAGGAGCTTCCCGAAGACCTGGACGTGTGCATTGCCCAGCGGGACTTTGAAGGTGCCGTGGACCTCCTGGACAAGCTGAATGAGTACCTGAAGGACCAGCCTGTCAGTCCGAGGGTGAAGGAGCTCAGGGTGAAGGTGGATGAGCGTGTCCGACAGCTGACAGAGGTGCTGGTGTTTGAGCTCTCTCCTGATCGTTCCCTCCGTGGGGGACCCAAAGCAACCCGTCGGGCCGTGTCTCAGTTAATCCGGCTGGGGCAGTCCACCAAGGCCTGTGAGCTCTTCCTGAAGAACCGAGCCGCTGCTGTGCAGACCGCCATCCGCCAGCTGCGCATTGAGGGGGCTACTCTGCTCTACATACACAAGCTCTGCAACATCTTCTTCACTAGCCTGCTGGAGACGGCCAAAGAGTTTGAGATGGACTTTGCCGGTAACACAGGCTGCTACTCGGCATTTGTGGTCTGGTCGCGCTCATCCATGAAGACGTTTGTGGATGCCTTCAGTGGGCAGGTGTTTGACAGCAAGGAGAGCCTCTCCACTGCCGCTGAGTGTGTCAAGGTGGCCAAGGAGCACTGCAAGCAGCTCAGTGAAATTGGCCTGGACCTCACCTTCACGCTGCAGTCCCTCCTGGTCAAAGACATCAAGGCAGCCCTGCAGAGCTACAAGGAGATCATTATTGAGGCCACCAAGCACCGCAACTCTGAGGAGATGTGGAGGAAGATGAACCTAATGACTCCAGAGGCTCTGACCAAGCTGAAAGAGGAGATGCGCAGTTGTGGCATGAGCAGCTTCAATCAGTATACAGGAGACGACTGCTGGGTCAACCTCAGCTACACCATCGTGGCCTTCACCAAACAGATGATGGCTTTCCTGGAGGAGGGACTGAAGCTCTACTTCCCAGAGCTGCACATGGTACTGCTGGAGAGCCTGAGGGAGATCATCCTTGTGGCTGTGCAGCATGTCGATTACAGCCTGCGGTGTGAACAGGAGGCAGAGAAGAAAGCTTTCATTCTCCAAAATGCCTCCTTCCTGCACGATACTGTCCTCCCTGTGGTGGAAAAGAGGTTTGAGGAAGGAGTGGGGAAACCTGCTAAGCAATTACAGGACTTGAGAAAAAGTGCACGGCCCATTCGTGTCAATCCTGATAGCACTATGTCTCAGGTCTAGGGGGTGAATGATAACCTGTTGTGAACAACACTTTTTGTTGTATTGATGCCAGTGTTGAACTTCAAATATTTGGCCAGAACTTATTAAATCTTTATTCTGCCATGTCTTATAGGTTATTCCGTGATGATTCTTTCTGTTGAATGTGATGTTGAAGACAATGACATCGATATAGTTTGTGATTTAGAATTTCACTTATTTTTCCTATGCTTGATGATATAGCATTACAAATTGTAGGCTAACTGGAATAGGATGACTGATTCATAAAGTAATGTATTAACTTAATGCAGTTAGGAATGTTATTGATTTGTACGAATGCGCCTCTGAAAAATGTTATGGTATCACACAAATTATCTCTAAAAATAAAAAGTGTATGCATTATAACAACTTTGTCCAGTTATTGAAAAAACTATTTAATATACTTTTTGATACTGTTTGATTAACTTTCTGCAAGACAATGGAAATTCTAAGGATTACTGAACCAAATGGTGAAAAAGGATTTTGACTTAAAAATATACGTAGCTTTTGACCCTAGGATTGAGTGTTATGATAAAAAATAGATCAAGAGGGCAGGGGATTTTTTGACACTATAATCTTCTTATACAACCTTTTTCATATCCCCAGTGAAGATTTTCAGAACAAAGCCTCAAAAAGACATTTTGTTATTTCTGGATAAAATATGGTTTTTATTTTCAATGTTTTCCATCATAACTGATTCTAGCCTTGTAACATGGTGTCAAAATTCACAGTACATCTCTGGATTTTCTTAATGGATTGGATATTCAAAATATTTCAACTATTGGTTGACATTTGTGCCCTGCCTTGGACAGGTGTGTTGGCGGGTTGAAAAACAACTGAGTTTCAGATAAAAGCCCCTAGTCCTTAACATTAAGCACAATGGGAGGGTAGATTAAATATTCATTTTATTTATTTTCTTCCTTTTATTTTTACATTCTTAGAGTACATAGAACATATTGATCAAATATTCACAAAGGGCCCTTGAACTATCGACAGGGATTAAGCTATGCCAGTGAAGCTTGCTTTTGGAGATAACCTGACCTCATGTCACCCCTTCAAATCGTCTAACTGCAGTTCTGAGAAAGGGAACCAGGAGTGCAGATTTTTCTAGAATGGTCTTCAGCCACTTGCTGAGTGGTTCATTTTGACAAAACCAAATAAAACATTGAAACTTATTGTAACAAACTCAATTCACATAGTAAAGACATAACAGAGGGTAAGGTGATAAATATTATTTTGTGTGACAAAGCTCCTCGAGAGCCAATTATTTTCCATTTGAAAGAACTGCTATGGATATTATTGACATTTTTCCAGAGAAAGGAATTCTGGCATCCAGAGTCTTGACAGCAAGCATATTTCCTGCATCATTGGAATCAAAAATTAATCTTGAAATCATTCAATCAAAGATAGCCTATAGTAAACTGTTGATAGTCTAATTTGGGATTGTGTTATACAAAGCGTGAGTTATCAATTGTTCATGTGGCTTTTTTCCGATTGTATGAAGCAATTAGACTCCTGATATGACAGCCCTTTGACTGGATCTCAGATCATCTGAGACCAATTGATTTATAAACTGCCACAGTGGATGTCAATTATTCCAAGCCTGCTGCATTGCACACATCAGGGCCAGGGACACACATAATCTTGTCCTGACTGGTTAATTATGCCTGACAGGACATTTCAATGACAGTGTGCTCACAGTGATGCCAACCAATTTGGCAAGGACAATGGGTGCATATGTGAATCATGGATAGATATAGCTCGACCTACATATCAGTAGGAAAAGGGAAACGTTCTGGGAAAATGTGCCACATTTTCAGAATATGCATCCAGCATTTCATTAAATTATTAGGTTGAAAATCTAAATGAAATTAAATCACCACCAACATGCATTGCACATTCAATAGCCTATGAAGTGTGCAGGCAGATGCGTCTGCTACCCATATGGTTTAGATAGCCTACTGGTTCACAACAAGTTTAGTATCACAGAGGTGTAAATAGCCTACAATTACCATATTTTTCACAAAAGGTTGGGGCTCCTCACTGGGATTAAGGGTGTTGTAGATTTTTGTTGTTGATAAAAGTGAAATTGTTATTGCGAAGCTGCAGTTGCAGAACCCATCCACTCCGACTACAACGCCAACAATTCCCCTTCGCGCGCGCCTGCGTAAAACGGGCAAGGGAGCTGTCGGTATCTAATAGCGCTGGTCTGTTTTCATTGATCGCTGCTCTTGCGTTCTATGTGAGAAGCGTTTTATAGACATGATGGATGAAGAATTAAAATGCCCCGTTTGCGGCTCTCTTTTCAAGGATCCTATTCTTTTACCTTGCTCGCACAATGTGTGTTTGGCGTGCGCCCGAAATATCATTGTACAGACACCAGAAGGCGAAACACTAGCGCATAGCCGTGCCTCCAACTCGGACTACGATTATTTGGATATGGACAAAATGAGCATGTATAGTGAAACGGACAGCGGCTATGGATCATACACGCCGTGCATCAAGTCTCCAAATGGGGTCAGGGTCTTTCCTCCGACTTTGGTGCACCGCCACTGTTCCATAACATGTCCTCTCTGTCACCGTAGTGTCTCTCTGGATGAGCGGGGGTTTAGGGGCTTTCCACGTAACCGGCTACTGGAGGCGATCGTGTCTCGGTATCAGCAGAGCCACTCTGCCAACGTGAAATGTCAGCTATGTGACCGCAACCCTGTCGATGCCACTGTGATGTGCGAGCAGTGTGACGTGTTTTACTGCACACCTTGCCAGCAGCGATGCCACCCTTCCCGTGGACCGCTGGCCAAACATCGATTAGTGCCACCGACCCAATTGCCAGCGGCAGGAGGACAGCAGATGCCCGCCGCCACCTTACGCAAACAGGGAACATGTGCAGACCATGATACGGAGAACTTTAGCATGTACTGCGTCAACTGCAAGACTCCAGTGTGCATGAAGTGTCTGGAGGGTGGCAAGCATGGGAGTCACGATGTAAAACCTTTAGCGGCCATGTGGAAACAGCACAAGGTAAGGATGGAGGCGGTGGGGATGCCTTGACCATCAGCTGCTCTGTGTAGCATCACATCACTGATGTCATCAGTGCCATTTAAATCACACCAACTAGATACATTTACTGTAAGGGACAATTCATCCGTGGTAGCCTATAGTAGGCCTAGCCAGGCAACAACATTATAGCCTAATCACAGATAAATAAATAATCCTGCCTACAGTACAGCTCTGGGTTTGTTATTTTAATTTGTGAAAAGGTCACCAGCGCTGTGTAACATGCCCCATGGTTTTCTCAGCTCCCACTACATGGTGAAGAGGAGAAGGATGCCATGACTCAGAGCTGGGCACTGCTCCTCCTCCTCCCAGGCATAGCATGCCTATAGGCAGAATGTGGACTGAGAGACAGAGAGTAGTACCCGATCTCACACACACATTACATTGAGCTATTACACAGCTATCACAAATTAAATTAAAAGCCTTTATCACCCACAGAGCAAATTGGGTCACTAATCTCACATTTTGCATGATTGGGACAGTATGCCCCACGACCTTCCTTCCATCCATAATTTATCAAACAGCATGCATCCGTCTTCCCACTCATCACCACTGATTAGAAGGGTTGTTCTGAGTTCAGTTCACTTTTATCACGCTAGCCTACTGTCCCACAAATGGACCGTGAAAATCACATAAGCGTGAAGCAGCATTTATAAGTACTGAGCCCTATAAATAAAAGATGCAGAAGCGCTTAGTTCATATATTTCCTGGGGTTGAGTGAGATCGATTACACCCCAGCACATAGTCCATTTTGTGCTGTATTTTATGGCCAATGTTCTGTATTGACAATAATGGGATGGTCAAGTGAGCTCTGCTCAGGTTGGAAATGTGTGTGTGTGTGTGTGTGTGTGAGTGAGAGATGGAATGGGAGTATGTGTTGATGAAGAGGGGGAGGACATGAATGTATTGGTCTGCTATTATGGCAAATTATCTCTGTACTCTTGAAGCTACGCTATCACTCTTCACGTCTCTTCTTGAATGAGTCCACTGCACCAGACAGCTCCCCATGTCACTGAACATTTACATTTTAGTCATTTAGCATATGCGCTTGTGCAGACCAACATAGTGTAGTGAGTGCATACATTTTCATACTGGTCCCCCGTGGGAATTGAACCCACAGCCTTGGCGTTGCAAGCACCATGCTCTACCAACTGAGCCCAAATTTAAATGAGACCAAATGTAAATGTATGAATGAGTCCACTACACCAGGCAGCTCTTCATGTCACTGTCACTAGGATGGGATTTTGTTGTGACACAGGGGACTAATTCAAATCTGTTAATCACGTTCTCATCCACAGCTCCAGATCCACCCTCCGGCTCTGACATGCTTTATCATTTGTCCTCCTCTAGGAGCTGACAGAAAACTCAATTGAACAGACTCAACAACCAGTCTGTTAGTTAGGGTAGGAAGGCCTGGAGATTGCAGTGTTGATAGGAGAGAGAGAGAAAGGCTGCTCCTCCGAGGTTTCTTTTATGACCACAGATGGATTGTGGCTTGTGGCTCAGAGGCAATTGTCATCCTCCATGCTGCAGAGACCCAGAGTGCTGATAATGGAGAGGCATGTGTGTGCTGACCGTCTGTGGAGAACTTAATCAGCACTGAAAGCCCAACTACACACACATACACACACACACACACACACACATACACACCTCCTCTGCCGGACTGCTGCTGTCTCACTCCTCAAATCTGACCCACATCCACTGGGAATGAGAGACAGTGTGTGCGCTTGTGTGTGCGTGTGGTGGGGTGTGTGGGTATGTCTCTTATTACAGTGGTTAAGCTGTTGTATTGCACTTGGCTTGCTAGTGGGAATAACAATAAGCCCCCATTTAGTTTTGGTTGGACCTTCAGTAGTCAGTCTTATCTTTCTCTATGGGAATGCTTTTACAAACATGATTTGAAAGTAATGTAAAGAAGGATATTGTTATGTTTTATGTTATTTACAGTATGTCAAATGGAACAACGGAACACAAGGGACTGCCTTAGGGTATCAGTGATGTTTTTCTCCCCCTTTACAGTGCCACTGTGAGTTAGTGAAATAAATGCTTGCTAGGAATACATCATGAATATGTATTTACTAGCGAATAAACCACAGATGAGGGATTGGAGGGGAAGTCAAAGTGGTGTAGTTTCCTGTGGATGTCCTGTGGGCAGCCAAGCAGAAACACCCAAAGTCAGTGTCTATTTAAATTCCACACACACACACTACACACTTCTCCCAAACTCTTTACCTGCATGCACAAGGCCAGGGCATTTCTCACCAGGCTCCAGCAGGCATGCACAATCGGGCCCTGCCAAGTCCAGAGAAGGGCAGCTCGCCGACCTAATGAAAAATGTAAGCCATCAAATGGATTGTTACAACCAACTCATATTTTTTTGTTTTGTCCTGAATTCCCAAATATTACACCTTAAAATGGCCACCAAGACCCTTTTAGGAGATTAGAGAAACCATGGTTCCTCTCTGTAGATACAGATGGTACTGCAGCTAAAGACAGGTTGCTATGCTACCTCAGGCATACAGAGCCCCTCTCCCAGTCCCAGCAATGGCATTGGCTCCAGAATGTAGGTAATGTAAAGTACAGTATCTCCCATCCCATTGAATATGTGTGCTATGCCATACTCTACCTGCCTAGTACCTAGTACACTAGACTTGGTTCATGTTGTGATGAATAAACATTTGGTGATGGGGGAACCAGGCAAAAGGATGAGTGCTTATACTGATTGTGTGCAACTACTGTAACCAAAGGCATAGGAGCAGGATAATATTTTTGAGCTATTTTTAGAGGAGAGAATGAGTGCTTGGGCAAGACCTTTGTGAAGTGTGTGGACATGAAATTGTGGTGCTGTGCGCAAATACTGCAAGTGTTACCATGGCTACACGGAGGCAAGTTACCAGAATGTTGGAAAAAAATTATGCCTAATAGATTCATATATTCTAACTTTGTAAGTGTATGTAACAGGTTTTACAATATGTGTAATATCTCAAATGGCAGCAATAATTTATGATCAATGCTTTTCGATGTATCTAGCTGCACAGCTGAAAGCTGAAGAAATAATTAATTAATCGAATTTGTACTGGGTTTTATATAATGGAAATTGTCCATATTCTGCATATTCATACATATATTAATGTAGCAAATCCTATCAATATTTGATATATTGTTAAGGCACTTCCTTTTAAGTATAGAACATAACGTTATGACTATAACTACTGTTCACTGAAGGAGGGGAAACGAGGTAAAACATACTATGGGGAGTCGCACTCTCGCGACTTCGGTTGAAGGATCTACAATCACGCCTGACAAGGCCAATGAAATCCGCGCCTCGCTGCAAGCCCCACCTTCCATAGGTGATATGATAAGCGTGAGGCTCGGATTCATTCCTTCAATGTAATACCGCTCTTCACCGAGCCCAGGAACAGGCGGTGCGGGGCCAAACAGGTGTTGTACATCCTTCAGGGAACAGTAGTTATAGTCATAACGTTATGTCCCCTTTCAGTCAGTCAACTTCGGTACAACAGACTATGGGGAAATATAATCACACCCCAAGCCGACCCCAACAGATACTAAATGAAACGGCCCATGGCAGACCACACAGACCTGACCCTGCCAAATGCGGCAGGCTGCCTAGTGACTTTCCCCTGTCCCAGCCATAAGCACACTGTGTGCTATACTGGGAGCAGTGACATCCAAGTGATAAAACCTCACAAAACGGTGTGGTGATGCCCAACTTCCCGCAGCACAAATATCTATAGTCAATCCATAAAACATCTCCCAAGACACTGCCAGACCCCTGGTGGAGTGGGCGTGTACCCCGCTAGGTAACCCTTGCCCCTTGCTGCTACAGTGGCTTGCGAAAGTATTCAACCCCCTTGGCAATTTCCTATTTTGTTGCCTTACAACCTGGAATTAAAATTGATTTTTGGGGGGGTTTGTATCATTTGATTTACACAACATGCCTACAACTTTGAAGATGCAAAATATTTTTTCTTGTGAAACAAACAACAAATAAGACAAAAAAACAGAACTTGAGAGTGCATAACTATTCACCCCCCCCCCCAAAGTCAATACTTTGTAGAGCTACCTTTTGCACCAATTACAGCTGCAAGTCTCTTTGGGTATGTCTCTATAAGGTTGGCACATCTAGCCACTGGGATTTTTGCCCATTCTTCAAGGCAAAACTGCTCCAGCTCCTTCAAGTTGGATGGGTCCGCTGGTGTACAGCAATCTTTAAGTCATACCACAGATTCTCAATTGGATTGAGGTCTGGGCTTTGACTAGGCTATTACATTTACATTTACATTTACGTAATTTAGCAGACACTCTTATCCAGAGCGACTTACAAATTGGTGCATTCACCCTATAGCCAGTTGGATAACCACTTTACAATTTTTTTTTTTTGTAGTATTTAATTTAATTTTTCTATTTGTATATATATATATTTTTAAATTTTTTATGTTTTCATTTTTTTTATATATATATATATATATATTTTTTTTTTTTTTTTTGGGGGGGGGGGGGGGGGGGGGGTAGAAGGATTACTTTATCCTATCCCAGGTATTCCTTAAAGAGGTGGGGTTTCAAATGTCTCCGGAAGGTGGTGAGTGACTCCGCTGTCCTGGCGTCGTGAGGGAGCTTGTTCCACCATTGGGGTGCCAGAGCAGCGAACAGTTTTGACTGGGCTGAGCGGGAACTATGCTTCCGCAGAGGAAGGGGAGCCAGCAGGCCAGAGGTGGATGAACGCAATGCCCTCGTTTGGGTGTAGGGACTGATCAGAGCCTGAAGGTACGGAGGTGCCGTTCCCCTCACTGCTCCATAGGCAAGCACCATGGTCTTGTAACGGATGCGAGCTTCAACTGGAAGCCAGTGGAGTGTGCGGAGGAGGGGGGTGACGTGAGAGAACTTGGGAAGGTTGAACACCAGACGGGCTGCGGCATTCTGGATGAGTTGTTGGGGTTTAATGGCACAGGCCCAGCCAACAGCGAGTTGCAGTAATCCAGACGGGAGATGACAAGTGCCTGGATTAGGACCTGTGCCGCTTCCTGTGTAAGGCAGGGTCGTACTCTATTCCAAGACATTTAAATGTTTCCTCTTAAACCACTCGAGTGTTGCTTTAGCAGTATGCTTAGGGTCATTGTCCTGCTGGAAGGTGAACCTCCGTCCCAGTCTCAAATCTCTGGAAGACTGAAACGTGTTTCCCTCAAGAATTTCCCTGTATTTAGCGGCATCCATCATTCCTTCAATTCTGACCAGTTTCCCAGTCCCTGCTGATGAAAAACATCCTCACAGCATGATGCTGCCACCACCATGCTTCACTGTGGGGATGATCACACCTGTGATTAGGGCAGAAGGAGAGGAAAAACACAAAAAGACACAGGATACCTGTATCCGTAACAGTGTGCTCGGGGTGATGAGAGGTGTTGGGACATAGCGTTTTCCTTGATGGCCAAAAAGCTCAATTTCATATGACCAGAGTACCTTCTTCCATATGTTTGGGGAGTCTCCCACATGCCTTTTGGCGAACACCAAAAGTGTTTGTTTATTTTTTTCTTTAAGCAATGGCTTTTTTCTGGCCACTCTTCCTTAAAGCCCAGTTCTGTGGAGTGTACGGCTTAAAGTGGTCCTATGGACAGATACTCCAATCTCCGCTGTGGAGCTTTGCAGCTCCTTCAGGGTTATCTTTGGTCAATTTGTTGCCTCTGATTAATGCCCTCCTTGCCTGGTCCGTGAGTTTTGGTGGGCGGCCCTCTCTTGGCAGGTTTGTTGTGGTGCCATTATTCTTTAAATTTTTTAAATAATGGATTTAATGGTGCTCCGTGGGATGTTCAAAGGTTTGGATATTTTTTATAACCCAACCCTGACCTGTAATTCTCCACAACTTTGTCCCTGACCTGTTTGGAGAGCTCCTTGGTCTTCATGGTGTCGTTTGCTTGGTGGTGCCCCTTGCTTAGTGATGTTGCAGACTCTGGGGCCTTTCAGAACAGGTGTGTATGTGTGTGTGTGTGTGTGTGTGTGTGTGTGTATATATATATATATATATATATATATATATATATATATATATATATATATATATATATATATATATATATATATATATACTGAGATCATGTGACACTTAGATTGCACACAGGTGGACTTTATTTAACTAATTATGTGACTTCTGAAGGTAATTGGTTGCACCAGATCTTATTAGGGGCTTCATAGCAAAGGGGGTGAACACATATGCACGCACCACTTTTTTGTTGTTGTTGAAACAAGTCTTTTTTTTTATTTCACTTCACCAATTTGGACTATTTTGTGTATGTCCATTACATGAAATCCAAATAAAAAATCCATTTTAAATTACAGGTTGTAATGCAACAAAATAGGATAAACGCCAAGGGGGAATTAATACTTTTGCAAGGCACTGTATATGCCAGGGGGATCCACAATCCAGTGACGCTAGAGACACTGCTTAGAGACCGCCCTGCCGCGAGCTGGATTAGCAAAACAGACAAAATGTTGGTCACATAACCAGATATCCCGGTTCCGTTCAATGTACGTGCATAAAGCTCATACCAGACACAGGGCATGCAACCTCTGCTGCTCTTCAGAAGCAAAAGGGGGAGGCAAAAAGGGAAATAGCTCAAAATCTAGGGACCTGTAGGACATAGCCATGACTTTCAGGGCGAAGGACGCATTTGGATGCAACGCCACCTTAGAGTCTGAGTACAGGAAGGGTGTGCTGATAACGCGTGGAGGTCCCCAACACGTTTAGCCAAAGCCATGAGCAGGGAGGTTTTGTAGGAGAAGATCTTCAGATCCACCAACTCCAGAGGCTCAAAGGGGGACACACACAGTGCCTCCAAAACCAGCGCCAAGTCCCATGTGGGCGCAATCGGTTTAGAGACCGGTCTTTAGAGACCGGTTCTCTCTTTCAGGAACTGCACCACCAGGGGGTGAGCCCCCGGTGAGGTTCCGTCAATTCCCACATGACACGCTGAGACAGCGGCCATGTACACTTTTAAAGTGGAGAATGCTTGAAAAGCTCCTGTAGGAACATAAGGATGTTCTTCAAAGAGCACTGAAAAGGAACAAGTCCTTTATCTTGGTACCAGAGCTCAAACGCTTGCCACTTATACGCATACATCCCTCTCGTGAAGGGCGCCCTTGCAGACTGAATGGTAGCAATAACATTCTGAGGTAATTCTCTAGCCATCAAATTGGCCGTCTTAGTGGCCAGGCCCATAGGAACCAAATCTCTGACCTCGCTTGCCAAACCTGCCCGTGTGCCTTGGACAACAGGTCCCTGTACAACGGGAGTTTCCACGGGTTCCCGCCTAAAGGTGAATGTCTCCGCGAACCAAGGCTGCATGGGCCACCTGGGAGCCACAAGAATCAATAGAAAGCCCTGCAGGCGCACCCACTCCAACGTGGGGTGAATCAGAACCACTGGCGGAAACGTGTAAAGGCGGCTCAGAAGCCACTGGTGCGCCAGAGCGTCCATTCCCAATGGGGCACTCGGGTCCTTCATCGAGAAAAATGCTGAAAATGTCCCATACCTGGGAGAGCCTCCACTCCTGAGAGAGAGGGTCCCATCTGGATAAAATATCTGCACCCGAGTTGAGGCAACTGGGGACATGCGTCACCCAATCGAAAGCATGTGCACACTGCTCCCCAGCAATAGGGAGCGAGCCAAGGTTAGGAGGGAGAGAGACAGTCTCTTCCCATCTGTTGATGCACGCCATCACTGACATAGTTCAGTTCTGACCAGCACAAGCCAGCCCGACAAAAACAGGGGGAAGCGCCTGAGCGCCAGATACTCCAGGTAATTGACATGCAGTGCACTCCGCACCAGTGTCCATACCCCCCGAATCGAGTTGCCTTCGTACAGCTCACCCCACCCTCTGGGGAATGCATCTGTCGTGATTACCTTTCGGGATACAACTCAGCCCATGGGAGCCTCCTGACAATAGTTGAGGGTCCCACCACTGGGCCATGGCGAGATGTGTCCAGGTGAGTGGCTAGCACTCAGTGCTGGAAGGGCCGTATCAACAATAGCCCCACAGGAACGACTTCAATCACAGAAGCCATCATCCCCAGTAGGCATAGGCACTGGCGAAAATTCACTGTGTGACCCAGCCAATATTTGGCTAAGCAGAGTCGAAACCTGGACACCCTCCATGGGGATAGAAAAGCGTGATACGCGAGTGAGTCTCGCTTGAGACCCAGAAATGGAATGCGCTTTTTCTGGTTTCTTATGAAGCCTAGAGACTGAATACGGGACAGTACCATGGATGTGTGTAACACTGCTTGCCCCCTCGACTCCGCCGCCACCAGCCAATCGCATTCTGAGTTTGTAGACTCTGAGGTGCTTGCTGAGGGCAAGTAGGTCTAGGACCCACTCGGATTGCCTACTTCTGGAGATGGGAGGATCTTTCCTTCCTCAAAATGGGCACTGAGGCCTCGGGAACAGTCGACGAGATGATGCTGCAGAAGTGTGGGGGACGCACAACAAATTGTAGCCTGTACCCTGATATCACTGTTCGCATGATCCAGGGCGACACTGCACATGCGCGCCATTGGTCGAAGCAGACAGCAAGACTCCCGTGATCTGAAGGGGCAGGACTCCACCTTGTAGACTGGGAGAGATTGGTTCTTCTTCCATTTACACCACACTTGACAACCGTATGTCTGAACATGGAGAAGGAACACGTTTGATCAAACTCACCTACGGGAGACCACTTTTAACACCCGTGAACACTTTGGAACTCGGTTGAAAAAACGTTGTTTATGTTTCAAAGTTTGCCTAAAGCCCAGCCCACTCTGGGTACACGGGCTCCGGCGATCAGTGATGTGCCCCGATTGGCCGTGCCACTTGGGGGTACTGTTATCACAATGAGCCTCACTCGGTTTAGGCAGTAAGATGCGTTCCGGTAACCGGCTGGCACCCAGCGCTTGACCGCACGCATAAAAAATAGACCCAGGGAGAAAACATTATCATGGAGGTTAGCAAAGTCATAGGTACTGGCAACAAAGCGCCTTGTAACCTAGCTGGGAATGGGACAGACTGCTCTGAAAAACGGACCCCTTCTGTTGTAACAGACAGCGGCGATTCGTAATTGAATCTAATTCCCAGACAGTGTGGTCGTGTCCAACCCTGCTTGTTCCCTTGACTCCGCTACCAACAACTAATCGCCTATAGAGACCATAACCTGTATCACTAGACACCTCATAGGGACTAGTGAGCTACAGGCAGGAATCAGCAATGAATCCCAGTAATGAGCCACCTATGGGGAGGGGCGCCCCCTTGTGGACATTGACCCAACTTGTCACTCTCACCCTGGGGAGATTGATATACCCTTTGAACCCTGTGAACACCATGGAACGCGGGTAACAGAGGTGGCAGCATTAAATATGGACAAGCTTCCAACATACGTTGTGCTTCCGTGAGACTGTATAGCCTGCATGAAGCCCGGCCCCTTTATGGGCACAGGGGGCTCTGGCAATGGCAGACGTAGTACCCCGTTTGCCAAACGTGGGGGCTATGTTGTCACAGTAATGTTTTTGCGGAGGGGCGCACTGGTCACTCAGACCCGTGCCAAGGCCCCTTGCTCCAGGGGTTACCCCAGCCAAGTGCTCGGGGACTGCTTCTTCATTTGAGGTGCACGCAAACCTGGTTTCCTTCACTCCCTCCAACTCCAGGAACTGAAAATAGGAATGGGGTTGCCATAACGCCAGGGGAAAGCTAGTAAATTTCACTCGCCGGAAGTTAAGCATGCTAGCCGACGTTAGCTAGGTGGCTTTTTAGCATAAGCTAGGCTAGCTAGCCTCTTTGACCGCAGCACAGTCCGTTTGGAATAACCAAGCGACTTAACGCCACATATACTAAACAAGAGCGCTAACCCAGCAACACCACTGTGGGGAGGCAGGAATAGCTAGTAATAGCTAGCTCGCCTCAGCGAGTTAGCCAACCTGGCTAGCACACTATGCAGTGCTCGTTTTGCTAGCCCGGTCTCGAAAGTCCACGTAGGACCGGATCACCGAGGTGGGACCGGACTCTTCATCAATAAGTCTGGGAAGAGAGGCAAGCGGTGCTTGACCGAGGCAGACACAGGCGGCGGGGGGTACCCACCGAACCTGCCCACCCTCTCTCTTCAAGTAGCCTCCCGTAACTGGCGACAGAGCACACAGGAGCCAAGTTGGGTGCAGGCAGACAAGACATTTGCTCCCACGACCCAATCCATCTCCGCTTCCTGTACTTCGGTCCCAGCCGAGGTACTGGCATCAAGGAAAGGAAAGTCGCCATCGGTAATTCCAAGCTTCCTCAAGAATGCTACATGTCTTTCCAGGAAGTTTGTACACAGTACGTGGCAATGCGCACACAGACTGATTCGAGCAAGGGCCGCATTAGCGTGCTCCATGCCGAAACAAACTACACATAGATCGTGATTATCTTTCAGATAAGTGCTGTAACTGCATGACTGGGGGCATGATCTCGACCCCGAACACGGCTTAGCCATCGTCGTCTTGGCCGTTTTCTTAGCCATCTTGGCCGTTTTCTTAGCCATTGCACCAGCAAATGGAAGAATAACTAATTGCTTGTGATTAGAAAACTTATGAGAACAAGTACAACCTTCAGCACACAATATCCAGGGGGTGAGCAGGCTATTACACTATGGGACAGTTTAGTTGGCGCAACGTAAGACAGTCTCGTTTTCCAATTGTTTGTTTTATTAGCATGAATCGTTCTTGTTTACACTGAGGTGAAGAGCGGAATAATTGAAGGAATGAATCTGAGGAAGGTGGAGCTTCCAACAAGGCATGAATTTCATTGGACTTGTCAGGCATGATTGTAGATCCTTCAATCGAAGTCACGAGAGTGCGACTCCCCATAGTATGTTGTACCGAAGTTGACTGAAAGGGAACTTTCACTACATTCTCAATTTAATCATCCAATGGAGAATTTTCTATAATGGTAAATATTGTGTGTTCTCTGATTTCGTGGTTTCTTTGGGTTGTTCCTAATTTGCCTGGCAGCGTGTGCATTCTCTGTGATGCTGTACTGGGCTGGCTGTGCTGTGCAGCACTGTGCAGCACTGTGCTGTGCTGGCTGTCGTGGACATGCTGTTGAACATTAGTCGGTCGTGGAGCAGCAGTGTGAGGCTGAAACGGGGAGGGAGATTGGTTCTGCTCTCAACCAGATGTGGAGCGCTAATGACACAGCTGCTGAGCGAGGGAGAAAAGGGAGGGGAAAGGGAGAAGCGGGCATAGGAATCTATGCCATTCCTCCTGGAGTGTCCCTAAAGACCCATTTGAAGTCATGGTCAACACTGCAGATGAGCGCTGCAGCTTCGCATCGTCTTAGCCAGATCCCCAAACACTGGGCTGGAAATGAATAGCTATGCTCCTCCACTATTGAAAGCCTCTGCTCTTGAATGTCATGCATATTACTTAAGAATTCTCTCTCTGATGACATTACTGGGTCTCTTCATTGCATTCATTGCATCAGATAATAAGAGAGGAATGATGCTGCTGACAGGAAAACGGATGCCTCTCCCCCCTTTTTTTTCTGGAGGAAATACATTACGATTAAGGGTACATTTCTAAAATGATTAATTGGATTCCTCTTTGAAGAATAGAGCCTCACCTTTCATCTTATGACCCGTTTTACTCATTACTTCACAAAAGGTATTTCCTCCTGCCATAACTCACCTGTTATCCTTAGTGACAGTGAAGGGGTTATTTAGGTTGTCTACCACTGATGCTGTAATCCATCTCTACAAATGAGATCGCTGACAGTTCTGAGCCACATGAGGACAATATCCAGAACTTAATTATAACATGAAGTTTAATATTAGCTCATAAAGAATAAATATATTTGACAATGGGGAACATGACAAGACGATAAAACCTTTAAGATATGGCTCCCTTGATAATTTCTTCATGTTGAGCAGTAGCATCCTTCCTTACCATATTGAATCCAACTCTCCCATACAACACTGTTAGGATAAACAAGCACAACCCAGTGAAAGGACATTAATTGGTGTTGTGCAGGAGGTTGCCGTGGGACAGGCTCTCTCTCCATAGGAGGGCCCCCTGGACCCCTCACCCTGACCCCTGGAGGTCACCCTGACACAGTGTCACAGTGTAGAGAGAAAGGGCTTAGCAGACAGACATTGGCCTGCCAATGCCCCCTTGTCTTGTCCTGTCTGTCTGTGGCTGGGGCCCTGGTGGAAAGAAACAGCAAAGAGGAGGGGAATCATTCATCCCCTTGTTAGCGGTGCGGACCGACAGCTTGTGCCAGATGGCACATTAATGGACCATGGAGGGCTGGCTTGATTTGCGGCCCTCTTGAACCTACGCACATGGCCCAAAGGCCCAGCCCCAGAGAAGCCCTGACTGAGACTGACAGAGAGGCCAAGAGGAAGAGGAGCAGGTGGGAGGAGCGGGAGGGAGGTGGGAGGTTTGGATCCTGGCCAGATTGATCACAGCAGGGTTGGTTTACACCATGATTACCCATCACTCATGGGTAATCAGCCTCAGCACAGAGCAGATCTGGTGAAAGATAGAGAAATAAATGATTATAGGACTACAAGGTGAGGGCTTGACCTCTAAACATGGCTTTGAGGGCCTCGTTTGAATCTCCTTGATTACTATGACCTCAGAGGTCATGTGGGTGGGCTTGAGTGAAATGTTTATTAGTTGTTTACATCATTGCTGGTACTGTACTGTATATTTCGTCACTGGTACTGCCCCAGGCTTTAATCTTAACGTGTTATTATTATTTTAATTTTTTTATTTAACCTTTACTTAACTAGGCAAGTCAGTTAAGAACAAATTCTTATTTACAATGACGGTCTACCAAAAGGCAAAGGCCTCCTGCGGGGACGGCGGCGGGGATTAAAAATGAAAATATAGGACAAAATACACATCACGACAAGAGACACCACAACACTACATAAAGAGAGACCTAAGACAACAACATAGCATGGCAGCAACACATGACAACACAGCATGGTAGCAACACCACATGACAACAACATGGTAACAACACAACATGGCAGCAGCACAACATGGTAGCAGCACAAAACATGGTACAAACATAATTGGGCACAGACAACAGCACAAAGGCAAGAAGGTAGAGACAACAATACATCACGCGAAGCAGCCACAACTGTCAGTAAGAGTGTCCATGATTGAGTCTTTGAATGAAGAGATGGAGATAAAACTGTCCAGTTTTAGTGTTTTTTGCAGCTCGTTCCAGTCGCTAGCTGCAGCGAACTGAAAAGAGGAGCAACCCAGGGATGTGTGCGCTTTGGGGACCTTTAACAGAATGTGACTAGCAGAACAGGTGTTGTATGTGGAGGATGAGGGCTGCAGTAGGTATCTCAGATAGGGGGGAGTGAGGCATAAGAGGGTTTTATAAATAAGCATCAACCAGTGGGTCTTGCGACAGGTATACAGAGATGACCAGTTTACAGAGGAGTATAGAGTGCAGTGTTAGAGAAGTGACTTGGAGAGTTATTGCTCTCAGAAATGGCTGTGTTCTCAAACTCATTCAATTGAAATGTCTGCATAGATTGTGTTTTGATTTATTTTGGATGAATAATTGTGTGTTTTTGATTCACAGTGTCAACTGTCCCAAGCTTTGAATGGTGTGTCGGATAAAGCCAAGGATGCCAAGGAATTTCTGGTGCAGTTGAAGAACATGCTTCAGCAGATACAGGTAACATTCTCTTTTCAAATACATGTCTTGCAGATCCAATTGAAATATCCACATGTATTGAAATAGAATACAATTGTTATTTCTGTCCTATATCAATTTAACCTGTATTCCCCATCACCTACTTACCTGTGCCTGTCAGCTTTGTAGATCAAGGGTATACAGATGCTCAACAAATACTTAAAAGAAAGAAGAAATATGCTCCAGATTCATACAGTGTCACTTTCTGGAATATTTTTATTATGTAGGTAACTTGTGGGGATTCTAAAAGTTTTTTTTCATTTTTAGACTGGCACTACATCATTTATAAAGCACTTCTTGTCGCCCAGCGGACCCAAAAGTATATTTTTGTGACCACGCTCACAGCTGAAGCAGGAGAGGGCTGCTGTGCCACTCTAATCACCACGGCAACACTGTCCACAGGGACTGCCCCAGACAATCACAGCTTTTATACTGCACTGCCATGTCTTATCAGTTGCAGCAATGCTGTGTATTAAGACTCTATTTGAGTAAAATCCCAGCTCTGCTCATCCTTGAACCGAGTGCAAAGTGTTGCTAGATTAGAATTCACTATCTCAGGCCTCATCTACACTCACATAAATGATTGATATACAGTGTCGATGATGGAAGATTTAACAGGAATCAGTGTGGTGTCCTTGCCCCCTGTCTCTCTGTGCCTGGCCCTAGCACCCTGTACCTCCCTGTACCTTCCTGTTCTGTCAGTAAGCGATGTGTTATGTTGTCCCTGGCAGGAGAACGGGGTGGAGTTCGAGGCCTGCCTGGTGGCTCAGTGTGACGCCCTGATTGAGGCTCTGACGCGGCAGAAAGCCAAGCTCCTCACCAAGGTTACCAAAGAGAGGGAGTACAAGCTCAAGGTGGGTCAGTGGGTCGGATCTGATGGACGCTCCAACAGCTTGATGGGTGGGAACGTCATGTTGACTGCAGTCTCACACACCAGACCAAGCTCGGATTGCACTGTGCACAATTAGCCTGGGGACAAGGTTCTGTTGACTTTAATGTACAGATGGCATCATTCAGTTAGGTGGATGGTTTATGGTTTGTTGATAACAATAATCACAGTACTCTCTCTGCATCAAATATATGATCAATAGATCACTGTTATTCATAATACAACTCTGAGTAGTGATAGACTCTTTTACCTCAGCTGTCAGCTCTCTCTAGACACAAAGGGCATCCAGGGTTGTGCACTTGTTTTGGCCCAGGTCGAGATGCATCTGGACCCAGGTCTCTCTCCTCTCCGCCCCCCTGTCCTCTCCATCTGAAGCCCCAGCTGAGGGGTAGGCCTGGGCCTACAGGCTGGCTGGCGTTAAGCTCTGTGGGTCACATGGATCCATGCCCAGGCTCAATGTGCCAGTTGGAGGATTGGGGCTCCAGAGGACAGCTGTTGTGTTTAGCAGGGCTGGAGCTGAAGAGAAGCTAGGACTGCTGCAACATCACACAGCAGGGTCTCTTCATTTCACTCTGATTAAGGCCATCACACTGATGTGCCCTTTTCAGAAGATTACAAAATAAGAGTTTTATGGAGTTTAGTTCACGGCCATATGGTAAAGTCAGTGACTGGACCGTAAAGAGCAGTTGTTGGGCTTTTACCGAACTGCTGTGGTGACATTTGGTATCCATTACATTTGATCCCCTACAGTGTGGTGGAGATAGATGGTTGATAATTAGCGGGAAGCTACTTTATATCAGCTACAAAACAATGGTCTCTGTCTGAAAATATTTCAGCTATCACGCAGCTGTTTCTATCATCAAAAGCACAAATATCTTATTTTTTATCTTGTAATCCCAACATCAGGGCATTTGTTTCCCCCTGCTCAATCGTCTGAAGTGTTGTGTTTGTGTCAGTGTGTGTCGGTGAACGTCATTTTCTACTCTAATTCATTTCTTCCGAGCCAGTAGTCTGTCAGTAGTGTTTTTATCAGTGGCCTCTTTCGCCACACTACACATTCCCAGGGAGAGAGTAATTTCATGTGATTCGTGACAGTCTAGTCCAGGCATAATCCATAGACCCCTGGATTGTTTTTGTCTTAATGTTGCGTGATGGGTGGATTATACAATCTGAGTTGTTATAATTATTTACCTTAATGCCAATTCATTATGATTGGATAGATATGACAGTTCCTGACTGTCCTCTGGTGTGTTTATATTTGTGTGATATTTTATTCAATCTACCCTTTAGGAATGCTCATTTTTTGCTTATTTTATTCAATTAAGAACCAGTTGAATAATTTATGAGCATTTAATTAATGATGGGCTAATTGCCTGAATGTGTCAGTGACTTAATCAAATTATTTATTGGATACATTTGGAATTCTAATGCTTAATTTAAATATAGAGTGATTAACTGCTTTGAAATGAATCAATATTTTCTGATAATATTTCTGCTGACGCAGCATATACTCTTCCTGGGGTCCACGTGTGTGTGTGTGTGTGTGTGTGTGTGTGTGTGTGTGTGTGTGTGTGAAATGCCTGCCCAGTGTTAATATGACATTAAAGGGTGCCTGTCTGTGTCCTTCTGGCTTCTCATGTGTTGTGTTCAGGTGGTGCGTGACCAGATCACTCACTGCACTATGAAGCTGCGTCAGACTACAGGCATGATGGAGTACTGTCTGGAGGTGATCAAAGAGAACGACCCCAGCGGCTTCCTGCAGGTGCAGTAGTGATGTATGGATGAATGGGGCTGGAGCTCTGCTAGTAGAAGGCTGTGGATGAGGCTATCCTTGCTGCCTGCCTGCCGGTCTGCCTCTCACGCAGAGAAGACTTCCCTCCCATTCCCCTCAGATGTCCCTGTCTCCTACTGGGCTCTAAATGCTAAGACCAAACAGAGGAGACCTTTGAAAGAACCACTTATATATTTGACTATACTAATAGATATTGATTCAGAGTGCATATGATAAGCTTGTAGCAAGATGTCGATACATGTTTTTGTTGTTGGATAAATGTGGATGAAGATATTGATACTTAATAGGTCATCCCAAACCATTTCTCGTTGGCTTGCACTAATAAAGATTAACCTGATACTGAACATTGGTATGTGACACCCTCATCAAGTTGAACGGTGTCATATTTAGTTCCCCTCACCATTAGCTGGAAGCCATTGATTCTCCTGGTCTTTTGATAGGAGCGGTCTGAATGAGATGAAATGGAGAGGAAAGACTATCTTCTGGGAATCGATGCTTCCCTCCCCCCTTCAAATGTATATGTATTGATTGAACAGTTTCTTATACCCCTTGGAACAAATTCTGTGCTCTGTACCATTTAAAGCTTGTATAAATCCTTACAAAAGCTTTGCAGGTAGCATGAAAGCTGGTATCCTACAGTAGTGTTTCCAAACCAGGGTTACTAGGACCCCAGGGGGTACTCGGCCCATCCACAGGGGGTACTCGGCCCATCCACAGGGGGTACTCGGCCCATCCACAGGGCGTACTTGAGAAGACTCATGAGCATAGGCTTACTGGTAAAATGCACGAGGGGGTACTCTAGGGGTACTCCGGGCAGAGCATAATTCAGTTGGTGGTACAGTAACCGAAAAAGGTTGGGAACCACTGCCCTACAGGGCTATTCCTAAATGCAGCACATTTCCCGCTGGCATTTTTCCAGAAGCACAAAGCCTCAGAGAAATCATAAAAAGCCAATTAAAACCATATTGCACTCTGTAATAGTATATTACACTGTAGCTGAATGTTTTAGGGGAGTTGTATCTGCTTTTATGCTGATCCCTCCTGCTGTGTGTGTGTCTCTGTGTAGATTTCCGATGCGCTGATCAAACGTGTGACATCGTCTCAGGACCAGTGGGTCAAAGGGGCTCTGGAGCCCAAGGTGGGCCCTGAGTTTGACCTGACCCTGAACACCGACCCCCTGCTGCAGACCATAATACAGCTGGACTTTGTCCAGAGCAAAGGTACCCAATCTAAATATACGCAACACATTTTCCACCAACAGGTTTCTGTGCCAATGCACCACACAACCAATAAACAAAGCATACTGACTTCAGGCACTTCAATATCATGGTTTGCATTTTCAACACCTCAATAAATAGACTATGTCAATCTCGACAAACAGAAAATACATCCCTCCCTACCTTGTAGGCTTACCCAGTATCGAAGGCTTGGCTTGACAATCTCCGAATGTCATTAAACTTTTGGGTGTATTGTAACAGATGTCTCTTTCCGCTGCACAGTTTGGATTGATTGATTGATAGATTTTGTCAGTAAAAAAAATACATATATACTGTAGGCAATTATTTTTTTAAGTGACCAGGATTGCACAATAAAGTCAGGGACTTATTTCCATTGTGGTCCCTATTTTTGTACATAAATACTTATACAATTACATAGATACAGACACATTACAGAGATACAGACACATTACATAGATACAGACACTTTATAGAGATAGAGGCACATTACATAGATACAGACACATTACATAGATACAGACACATTACATAGATACAGACACTTTATAGAGATAGAGACACATTACATAGATACAGACACATTACAGAGATACAGACACATTACATAGATACAGACACATTACAGAGATACAGACACATTACATAGATACAGACACTTTATAGAGATAGAGACACATTACATAGATACAGACACTTTATAGAGATAGAGACACATTACATAGATACAGACACATTACATAGATACAGACACTTTATAGAGATAGAGGCACATTACATAGATACAGACACATTACAGAGATACAGACACATTACATAGATAGAGACACATTACATAGATACAGACACATTACAGAGATACAGACACATTACAGAGATACAGACACATTACAGAGATAGACACATTACAGAGATAGAGACACATTACAGAGATACAGACACATTACAGAGATACAGACACATTACAGAGATACAGACACATTACAGAGATACAGACACATTACAGAGATACAGACACATTACATAGATAGAGAAGAAAAAATGCTCAGCCTCCAGATAGGTATGAAGGAGGAGTTGAAGTACAATTCTTACAAGCTTGTTTGGCTGGTAGCTTATTCTTTAGATGCTTGGGGCTGCTGGTGATAATCAAAGTGACACTGGACTAGCGCACTTGCCAGAGACTTTAGGGTGTCTATAGCTAGGTTTCCATCCAATTAGCGACAGATTTTCATGTGAATATTCTAAAATCTTAATAAAAACAATATGCCATTTCAGAGTTTCCTTTAGGAATATTTGGCGCCAGACAACATGACAGGGAAGATTTTAATTTACCGGACATTTGAGAAATGTAATGGACATCCACATGCATTCAGATCCAACCTGGCGCAGCCAGCGCCATCAATAAATTAGGGATGTTGGCCAAATGAGTCACATTTACGTGTCCTTAAAAATTACAAAAACACTATTCCTTGTGTTTCGATGTGTAGCATATGCAAAACTTTGTAGCCTATTTTTTAAGGACCATGCAACCAAATATTATGCTTGAGTAAACCTTAGGAAGATTTGTAGTGTATATCCCCTGGCAATGTCCTAGAATACCAGGATATATTTTTCATTTAAACAAATATGTATTTCAATTCGCTTCAACACCTACTGAAGCAAACAAGATTGTTCCTTACCCAGTTACTAACTCAGTCTGGCCCAAATAAAACGTAATTGTAAAAGAAATGTGATTCTGAACCCATGGGGAGTTGAACCAGCATTCTCTTGAGAAAGCACAGCAGTTGATCATTTCCACTATGTTGCAAAATAACTCAAGCGTCACACATGAACCAATGTCCAATATCATGTTTCAGATATTCAGGAGACTCCATTATTGAAACAAATGCATGCAGGTGGACTGAAAGACACGGAGAGCGCAGGAGGTATTTCAGAGCTGCTATATGATCATCCAAATCCAAGTTTTCCCTTTTTCCTCTGAGACCTGCCAGCCCACACCAGCCCACCACGTTAAGGGGCATAGTGGTCCCGACAGTGCTCTCCTCCCATGCATGTTTTACCACACTCTTCCCTTTTAATATTCTCACCTGCCTGACAACAACCACTATCAACCGCTACCTATCCATGCAGAGATAGATGTTAACTCCTCTGTGGTGTTCCTGCCATCCGTTTCTATTCCAGTGGAGACTGCCACGGTGCCCCCGGCCCCCCTGCTGCAGCTAGAGAAGTGCTGCACCCGCAACAATAGTGCCACCCTGGCCTGGAGGGTCACTGTGTCCCCTAGCAACCCCATCGAAGGCTACATCCTGGAGCTGGACGACGGCAATGGGGGGCAATACAGGGTCAGATAATCCTTCACTTCATATATTAGAGCCAGTGTGTGTCGTCATGTCCGACGCTCCATGTAGTCTGACACTAGCATGGAGCGCTTCACTCTCTGGTGTTTTAACAGTAGATTTAGTCAAAGAATTGAAAAGTTTAATGTAAGAAAGTTGATGCTCATTATGCAATGCAAGGAATCTATGGGAAATATTTTATTTAGCCAAGCTTATTTCAATATGTGTAATACAGTTCCACTGTAATTCTATGTGGAGTAAATTTCACCTATAGATAACAGTTGTCACCTCTACGGAATATTTTATTATTCATAGTGCGTATGGTGGAGTCAGAGCCGTAACTAACGCCAGATGGTCCTGTGCTGTACTGTATGTCTGTGTGTCCCAGGAGGTGTATGTAGGGAAGGAGACCGTGTGCACCGTGGACGGCCTCCACTTCAACAGTTCCTACAACGCCAGAGTCAAGGCCTACAACTCCACAGGGGTGGGGCCCTATAGCAAGACTGTGGTGCTGAAGACATCTGACGGTGGGTGTTCTTTCTGTCTTCGCTCTCTGTTTGGACCTAACTGTAGACCTGAAAGGGAAGATCCCCCTCTGACTGGGGACGGCAGGCTTAATTAGTACCCGGGGTACAGAATGAAACTCTGTATTCAGCACTGCTGAGCCGAGCTAGTCCTTTGGGACATCCAGGCCTGCTGTTTGCCGACAGAGCCTCTCCCTTCCATCAACCAGCAACACTCTTGTTTGTGTCCTTAATGGCAATGGCATCCCGATCCCACTTTAATTAAAGGCGACTTGTGCAATCTGTCACTGTCCTGGCTGGGTGTGGTGGTGCTAGCCGGCTCCAAGAATCCTCCTGGTTTATCTGCCCAAAGCAGTAAACACCAGGCAGTGCCATGCCAAAGCCAGAGCTGAAGGAGCTCCACTAAAGAGGTGTCCAGTCCTGATATAGTGCTGGCAGACAGTGGAAGTGGTCTTGCAGTTTAGCAACGCATGACAGTGAGCACGTGCCAGACTGTGATACTTTAGCCTGTCAGTTCTGGAGGGAAGACAGTGAGAGGGTGCAGAGGGAGATAGAATAGGCTGTCGATGCCATTGATTGAGTGTAAGGCTGGGATAGGGAGTGGAGGGATGGAGAGGCTGACAGAGCGGTGACACAGGGAGAGTTTAGACTTAGAGTGCAGGCGGCTCCAGCTACGGATCTGCCAACTGCTATAACAATGGCGGCAGGTAGCTTAGTGGGTAAGAGCGTTGTGCCAGTAACCGAAAGGTCGCTGGTTCTAATCCCCGAGCCGACTAGGTGAAAAATCTGTCGATGTGCCCTTGAGCAAGGCACTTAACCCTAATTGCTCCTGTAAGTCGCTCTGGATAAAAGCGTCTGCTAAATGACTAAAATGTAAAATGTAAAATGTAAATCTCTGCATGTGGAGGCCTTAGTGAGTGCCTGTCGTGTGCCAGATAACTGTTTATTCCAACATAGCAGGAATGGGGCTAATTAAAACAATACACTGCAATGATTTGATACAGCAGTGCCTTATGGGTAAAGTGCTGTTGAATGAGAATTAATCCAGTGCTTGACATTTAGATGAGAACATCAAGTTACATTTTTAATTGTGGCACTTTGTGAATATTAATTTATCATCTCACGGTATGCAGCCTGCCATAGGGTCCTAGCTGATCGTGCTGTTCTATAATAGCATCATGTTTCATTATTTCCTGCTGCTCCATCCTCCACTAAGGTTCATTCAGGCAGCCATGCTCTCGTTTCTCTCTGACTCATCCTACTGCTCTACTTTGTCTCTCCTGCAGTGGCTTGGTTCACCTTCGACCCCACCTCAGCTCACAGGGACATTGTGTTGACCAATGAGAACCAGACGGTGAGCTGCAACAGCTACGATGACCGTGTGGTCCTGGGGACTGCCGCCTTCTCCAAGGGGGTACATTACTGGGAGCTCATGGTGGATCGCTATGACAACCACCCAGACCCGTCATTCGGGGTGGCGAGGATCAACACGATGAAGGACATGATGCTGGGGAAGGATGATAAGGCCTGGGCCATGTACGTGGACAACAACCGCAGCTGGTTCATGCACAACAACTCCCACACCAACAGGTAGGTGGGACATCTCTCAGGGGTGGAAGGCTGACTCCTGCTCCTCCACAGCTTCCGAAGTTTATAAATAATCATAATCCGCATTGTGTGTCATACTGTCAGAAATAACCCACTTACGCACATACAATATTGGCAGGCAGTTACTTGGAAATGGAAGAGATAATTTGCAGGGCAATGCTCTTATTCTTTTGAGTAGTATAGAGTAATGAAATCCATAGATTCAAAGTCCACAGGCTTAGCAATCTACCTCCAGGGACAAGAATACACAAAGCACAATCCTCCTTCCCCCTTAATGAACAATAATGCAGTAGTAGTTACCATTTTCAGTAGCTGATTAAAAGGTTTCCCTGTGATCATCTTTGTGTTTGTTGACCCTCATTATTTATCTTCCTGTCAGCTGTCACGTTGGAGCCTATCACCCAGAATGACTCACTCATTTCCCTCATTAAAGTGCCAGGTATACATGTATGTCAGGTAATCATCAAAGGCAGATTTTTGCCTGCAATCCTGCTTGTTTGTTTCTTTCGCCTAGTGGTTTTCTCTGGAAACCCTGTAGAGCCCTGTAGCTTTGTGACATAGCTGTTTGACCATTTTGTTGCTTGAGCTGTTCATTCTCAAAAAACCAAAATCTGCTGGCTTTTTGGGTGAGTTGACTGGTTTGAGTAACTATTTACATACAGCCTTGCATTGCCAAAGTATTTCAGATGTTTGGATACTGATGCATTTATTTTACTTTGCCAAAAGTTTTTCCTTAATTCCATTGGAATGGAGAAAAGCTACACACCCTGAAGGAGAAGCTCGAGGCTGTTTTCATACATTTGTTGAACCACAAGTATTCCGGATTTACTGTACATCAATTCACACACAGCCTACATACAAAACACACCTTATTTAGCAATTAGGTCAAATCTAATGTTTTGAATAGAGGAAACAATAAACCGCTTAAAGCCATTCGCTCCAAACTGTGTTTGGAGTCAATGGCAACCCTCTATCCCTCTGAGATCCCATACCACTCTCAAAGGGCCTGTTTGATCTGTTGTGTGTGTGTGCGCGTTCTGCAGGGCTGAGGGGGGCATCAGCAAGGGTGCCACTGTTGGCATCCTGCTGGACCTGAACAAGCACACTGTAACGTTCTTCATCAACAAAGAGCAGCATGGCCCTGTGGCCTTCGAGAACCTGGATGGAGTCTTCATGCCTGCTGTCAGCATCAACAGGAATGTCCAGGTGAGCACAGACAGTCAGACAGTGTTGCTTAAACAGAGAACTCTGGAGAACATAGTATTTTGTGAAAATTCTGATCATTTTGTCTTAATTTAGAAATGAAATGAATCTCCAGATTAGGGATATGTTAAACTGCATAGGTTGTGCACATATTTTTATTAAATTCTTACGTACCAGCAAATATACATTATGTTGAGTTAGTAAGCTCTGTGGCTCCTGAGAGTCAAATCCTGGACCTCGAGTCAGCAGCTTAGTCTGTCATGATCTCATTTGGTAATGTTTGTCCTTCACAGGTTACCCTACTAACAGGAATGGAGGTGCCAAAGAATTTTAAGCAGCAGTAGCCTCCTAAGGTGTCAACATGTAGTCCTCCTGCTCCATCCCTATCTCTTCTTGCTATTACTGTATATCTTATGCTGTTCAATGCCTATGATCAAATATCACCCATTGAGGGAGTCTTATATACAAGGGACTTTTGTATATAAAATATTCTGTTGTTTTTAGAATTTTCCTAGTCCTAATTGCATCTCAAGCCGTACAATCATATTCTGTGTTTACAGTCAAAATGCCACAGGGTGCTTTAATGAAGTGCATCACTGGAACGAAATCCCATATGAGGGTAGAGTCATGAGATGCCCTACAGTACAATTTCTCTACTTCTCTTCTCTCAGGTTCCTTCATAGAGTTTGTATACTCCTATTTCTTTATAGGAAACTGAAGCCCAGTCTATCTCACGGGTTGAGTTAAATGCAGAAGACACATTTCAGTTGAATACATTCAGTTGTACAACTGACGAGGTATCCCCCTTTCCCTTTCCCTCCTCACTCAAAAGTTGAGAATAATAGAGCTTTTCTTAGACACATTATTGGTGATATACTGTCTTTGAAACTTTACAAAGCCTTTCCATACCAGAATTTGAATAAATTCCATTTTAATTCTGGTCAATTGAAAATGAACCTATGGGGATTTTATTCATTGACTGAAATTGAAGTGGAATTCACCCCAGCCTCGCTTTCAATAAGAGGGCATAGATCGTCACATCTGTTTAAAGGACAAATCAGAGGACAAACGGTACCTAAAATTCTGTCACTAGATGACAAACCTTGGTTCAAAGTGAAGCCAAACCACTGTGACATTGAGATGTAACATTGCCATGTATATTTTGTCAAACTATTTAAAATACAGTAGATAGTATCTTTTTTCAAACGATTTACTGTTTATGCATTGGGTTTTACTACACTATTGAAATATTTATTAAGAGGGTGTATGCTCATGTGAATAAACAGGTATTGTAAAGCAGTTAGAAATATTGTATTGACAGACCACTAGAGGGTCAAGATTGCATGATACTGTATGTAAGGAAACTTTAAATATGACTGTGTGCTAAGCATGTATTCTAAGCGAACTAGTTTACTTAACTCCATCTGTATATAGTAAAACAATGCCTAAAACAGTGATATGCAGAAGCCTTTTAAACTACCTAGTACAGGACAATAAATATGCCCCCTAGAGTTTGAAGTCAACATTACAGCATCACGTTAATTTGCCGTTTTTTTTTTTACCATTGTGACATTTTAATATAATTGAATGGGGCTCAAGCATATTAACAGGCAATGTCAGATGACAACATTTATTTAAAGGGTTAAGCAGTGCGTTTGTGATTTTTCCGAGGGAGCCTTCATGGAATTCTAGATACTAGGCAGGCTTATTATCCCACATTTACATTTGACCATGTCCTCATTAAGTTCACATACCGGTATATCATTAATCATCATTAGATGCAGTTAGGAGTTGTTTTGTACCATATTCTGTAATTATAATTGTGTGAACATTTTGATCCCAGACTGCTACTAAAAGTGTTGCTTCAAAGTGATGTTCCCTTAATCCAAAATGGTAACAGGTTTTTGGATTAAGAATACTAATACTATTGTTATTAGAATAAAATGTCTGCTCAGAGTCTGTGTTGAAGCATGGTGGTACACTATTGGTGAAAATGATTTGTACTCTTGCATCCTTCTCTCTTTGTAAAAACACCAAATATAGTCATGCATTTTTGAATGGTCTTAAAATCTAACGTTGGGTTTATTTAGCTGTGTTAATGTTCTCTGAACAGAGCCAATGCCTTGTACATTAAACATGTTGATATGATGTAGAGCAGACTGTCTGATAGAACAGTATGTCCAAAGCTACAATGTGGAGGTGACCATTCCCTGGGTAAATAAATGATATTGGCTAAAGCCATTTTGTATAGAGACAAGCGATTGCATCAGGTTGCAGCATGTACGGTTGGTTATTGAGTGTCTCCAAGTGAATGTTGTCAATGAGAGAATCACAGTAATCACTATGGAAATGGTGTTTCCAGACACACTGCCAGTACAGACCATAATATCAAAGGAACCTTTGTAGTAAATTCACATAGTAGCTTATCCTCTCTAAATGTCATATTGTAGTTTTAGGCATGCATTTACCAGCCTGCTTCTGAATGTGAACACCCCCCCCCCCCCAAAAAAAAAAAAAACGGTGCTAGAAACAGTCACTACTGTCAGATTACAATTGTGTTTCAATCTTAGACTCTGCCTCAAGAGACTGACAGTAGACATATTTATTTCATATTATCTATTTATTTATAAATGTATAATACATTTCAGAGATATTTACTGTCCCCACCCTGACTATGCCATGTGGGTAAGGTTGTTGCAATGTCTGTGGGGCATCTCTCTTCTAAACGCAGGCATGCAACTCATGTCCTCTCACTGCCACACTAGCAGAGAACTAGGCAGGGTACACCACCAAACCTCATGTCAACTGGTCCATTAGGACACTGGCATCCATGCCCAGGGTATGTGTTCACAAAAAGCTGTGCTTTATTTTCCAGAATTCTGTTATGTATGTTCTTTAGTTCTCATCTCTCATACGATGTAAACGTTTTGTACTTCTAAGTGGTTTGTATATGAAATGCATTGTACTTGGCATTGTTTTCATATTATACAGTTTAAAAGAAAAGCAAAATGCTGTATTTTTTCCTTTATAAAATGAATAAATGAATAAACTGATGGAATATGAATGTGCTCTTCATATTTTCTGTAGTCATGTTAATTGTGGCTTGGACATCGATTTTCCATTACTGCATCTTCATGTGAAAAGTCTCTTCAAAACTCAAAAAATGCAGCAAAAATACAACTCTTCATCATTGTTTTCACTTCATCCCTTTCTTATTTTTTTTTGATGGAGGCTTTTATTTTCTGGATTTCTTTGGTGCTTAGGACCAGCATTCCATTTTTAAAGCGTCCCACCTGGCCTGTTGGAGCTTTGCTGGAAGATGATTTCCTCTTCTCATCCCTAGTAAATGGTACAGCATGAAAGATTCAGTGAACACAGACTATGAAACATGGAGATTTAACACTTAAGGGAGGCAGAACTTCATAATAAGCAGAGGCATGGAGCAAACGTGCTACATAATACAGTTACTGACAGTGGTTCACCTTTGATAATCAAACATAACTATTCAATTATGTGGCAAAATGTCCACATATTTGGAAATCTATATCAAAACAAAACTTAGATTAACATCACTAACCTTGGTTTAGTCGTCTTCTTCTTTTTCTTTAAGTCCTAGAATGGAAAATAATTGGTATAAAAAGTCAGAACTGAGATGACATCACACTCAATGCTAAATTAGGGGGATATCATTCAACTCACCGTCTGAATCGCTTCCTTTGTTTTTTGCTTCTTGTCCTTAACCCTTTGCTGCAACACTTTGTAGTTTACATACTCCTTCTTAGGGGGCTGTGATAGAAAATAACGTTTGTCAGACTATTTACTCTGCTTTATCATAACCAACTCCCACTTTACACAACATTTTTCAGAGGATCATGTTTGTAGATTACAAAGGGGGGGGGGGGGGGGAATGATATGGTGAACTCTGTTGATGTGCAAATAGCAGGCGAGATTACACTTTCTGGAATTTGCATAAAATGTTTACTTTATGCAACCACAGTTTACCCTTGCTCCAAGCATGATGGCTCGCTCCTGTTCAAAAACCCTCTGCTGCACTTTCTGGTATCCAGTGATTCCAAATCTATGAACTTCTAATCGAGCCTAACAAACAATAAAACAGGAAACCATTGTAATTCAACAAAATAATTGTATCATTGGTATAAGATTGTATCATAATTGGGTAAAATGTCAATATCCTAAAACATTAACTTTGTTTTGTTACCTTTTCTAGACTGAATTCATCTGGGTCCACCTTCTTTTTCTCCTTTGTTTGAGGAAGCTGGAGGGAGGTACAAAATGTATGAGATAAAATGATTCTGACAAGAGGCTCAGGTTGAGGTGAAATTGTAATATGCCTTTTAAAGATGCCTTTAGGCAAGGTTTTGCAATTTGTCTCAACATAACAAAACTCCAAAAACATAATTGAAGAACTCAGTGCTCCACATTGGCATAGTACCTTGTCCTTGGGCACTGATGGCTTTCTGGCTTGTCTCGGTCTCTTTGTAGGATCCTGGAATGTGACCACCTCTACTGGTGGTGTCTGTTTAGTGGTTGAACTTGTGTTTCCAACTTCAGAAGAGCCAGGAAGGTCAATCGCTGAGATATCCGAATGTCTGACTTCCAGACTGTCTTTAGTATCACTGCAATCATCTGCTGCAGTGTCCTCCTCATCCTCCACCTCACTCCTTTTGAATCTCTTCTTCTGTGACTTGTGTTCTCTCTTTGATACTGATCTATCACCTGTAACAACATGCTGTTAGAAAAATATCCAAGACCACCCGAACCAAGCCACACAGAAATTAGTAACTAGCTTACTATCTCCTTGACCTGGGGTGGCCATACCTCATGGAGAGCTGCTAGTTGCGTGGGCTTTTGCGCCAACCCTGCTCAAACACACTGGATTCTGCTAATCAAGTTTCAGAAAAGCAGCTAATTAGTAGAACAAATGTTAATGCAGGACTGGAGCAAAAGCCTGCACACCCAATTGCTCTCCAGGAAGAGGTTGGCCCTGTTTCAACACGTCACAGACACAGCTAGCTAACGTTAGCTTTTCTGCTAGCTAGCTAAATTAATGGCTAGCAAGTATAAAAAGCAGAGCTAAACTGGTAAATAAAGGACGACGTTCAACTACTACTAGTAAGACAACCATCTCCGTGTAGCTAATGCTAGCTCTGCTATGTGTGTTAGCTAACTAGCAAGCTAGCTTTTGCTTACCGAAATCATACAGCTTATTCAGGACATGGTCAAGACAAAACTGATCCGTGTTTTCTTCTTTTCCATTTTCGTTGTTGTCCATTTCAAGCAGTGACAAAAGCCATGTAAAGACGAAATAAAATAGGGAAACAAAGCAAAAGCACGATTGTGGATGACTGACACCAAACCAATATTCCCACGTGTGTGTATGCAAGTGAAAAGCAACAGGATCAGGATGTCCTTTCTTGGCCACCGTAGTTTAATGTACAAACAAGGAAGTAGCCATTCATAGCAGGGAATTATCCAGCGAGTCAAACATATATCTACCTTAAATCTCTGCCAGTGATTCTTCAGCCAAATCAGCATCTATGTTTTTATAATACCTGCTAAGGAATGGCATCAAAAACGATTTATTTGGTACGTAGGCTATACATTGCTAGCTTGCCCCACCCACCAAAATGTTTGACACTTGAGCTAAATGTCAACTGTTTCTGCCAGTTGTCTTAACATTCTTGTGTTTGTAACGTTACAGCAAAGGGACCCGATGCCAAAGAGAGATGGCTTTGAAGACATTTTGGAAGAGAGGAGGAACTCCAGCGACTTAAAGTATGCATTGAGGTGCTATGCACCGGTTCTTTACAAGGGAGTCACTCCCTGCAAAGCAAACATGCTCAAGAATATTGTCCTCCAATCTGATCAGCTACACTATGTCATTAATCAGGTAGGTAATCAGTGCCATAGCCCGCATGTGCAAACTGTCATTGGTTGTTATAAGTGTTAAATCTCAGTTTTTCTATTGTGCCTCACAAAATAGTGACATCTCAACCCCTCTGATCCACAATTTTAGGTTACATGTAGATTACAAAATGTGTTGATAAAATGTGTGCATGAATGTAACTTTGACATCACTTTGCATGCATGCAGGGTTATCCTTGACTTTGTCACTAAAGGGTTAATTCTATCCCTTCACTGTTTAAACTAGTTTGACTACCAATGACTAAGGTATTGACGACATCCTCTGAAACTGTCTTTAGGGTTAGGCAATACATGTATTATTCATAACCCCTGCCTTCTGGTTGATTATCATGCCCAGGTGTCACAAGAGTCTGGCGAGGCCCCTGACATCATCCAAGAAGAGGCCTCTGTCATTCTGGAGGAGATGGCCCACCGGCTCCAGATCAGCACCGTCCGCTTCTTTGCATTCGCTCTTAGCAAGGCCTTCAAAACCCTCTTCCAACATGTCTGTGTCAACGAGGAGGGCATCCAGAGAGTGAGTGTCCTGAGTCTGACAAAAAAAAATGGTAGCTCACTTCCACATCAAATAGTAATCTGATTCTGAGTTATGTTGTAAATGTAATGCAAAGTAGTACATTAAGGAGTATGGGATATTAACTATTTGCCCTATGAATAAAGTTAATTCATATCCACACGTTCTTCATTTCTCCAGCTCCAACAGACCATCCAGGAGCATCCGGTGGTGCTGCTCCCCAGTCACCGTAGTTACATGGACTTCCTGTTGATGTCCTACATCCTATACACCTATGACCTCGCCCTGCCTGTCATCGCAGCAGGCATGGGTAAGCATCTGCTCCAATGTCTCTCTGAACACATTAATGTTCACTGTGTAAAGACACTCTCTCCTTTGTTCTTTTATCTTTTGTTTGGCTGATTTCTGTTGTTGTTGCTCGCCTTAATATTGAGGATATTATGGTGTGATATAGATTTCATGGGGATGAAGTTTGTTGGTGAGATGCTTCGGATGTCAGGAGCGTTCTTTATCCGGCGCTCGTTTGGAGGAGACAAGCTGTACTGGGCTGTGTTCTCGGAGTATGTGAAGACCATGCTGAGGGTATATACAATGACATACTGTTCTGTTCTGCTGTCCTTTTATTGTGCTTTGTTGCTGTAACAAAGCGAGTGCTGAGTATTAATTTGTATGTCTGTCTGTATCTCTGAATCTGTTCTTTAGAATGGATTTGCGCCTATTGAGTTCTTCTTAGAGGGTACAAGAAGCCGAACATGCAAGTCCCTCACCCCGAAATTAGGTAAATAAACATCCATGTTGTTTTATATTCCTGTATCTGACTTGGCTCCTTGCTTTTGATTGAGGTCATTGCTGAGCTCTGCATTTGTTGTGCAGTATGTAGCATTTCAGTTGTTTGATTTATGACATTTTTCATTTTTCAGCAAATAAATGCTAGGTGACAGGAAATAGCTTTTCTGCTACCATTACCAGATTTTCTGTTATATATCAAGGGAGAGGTGCCGGAATTGACCCCAATAAATGTAATTTTTTTATGGTGACAGTGGCATTATTTCAAAACAATACAATGCTCTTGTCTGTAGATGTATGAGAAACCAATCCACTGTGATAATTTCGGAACATGGTTCTCATCATTTCAGGGCTACTGAATATCATAATGGAACCCTTCTTCAAAGGAGAAGTGTTTGATGTCAACCTAGTGCCTGTCAGCATCAGTTATGAGAGGATACTGGAGGAATCTCTCTATGCCAGAGAGCTCCTGGGAGTGCCCAAGCCTAAGGAGTCCACCTCTGTGAGTCACCACTATGTGCCTAGTCCTGTACTGTACTGATGGATCTGATTTACAACCAAGAGAGGTGTTGTCTGGAGAAAGTAGACTCACTTGATTTCATCAGTTTTCCAGTAATGATTGAAAATAACTTACTTCCTGCATACCTGGCCTCATTGATATCTCAACTCACTTAGTTGATATCATGCACCTGTGTTTACACAGCATATGCCAGGCAATTGCATATTGACACTCAAACATAGGCTGCTATTTTGCCTTTCAGGGACTGTTGAAAGCCAGGAGAATCCTCAGTGAAGACTATGGCAGCATTCATGTGTACTTTGGCCAACCAGTGTCAGTACGGAGTCTGGCCCAGGGCAAGGTCAACCGCTCTAAGTACAACCTTTTCCCAAGGTAAACTTATATTCCTGGCTCGTCCCCATTGTTAAGTCAAAAACAGACAATTTATGTAATTTCAGGCAGTCGGGCATGTTGAGAATGATCTGTTTTTTATTTGTATTGATAACAACCAAAATACGAAGAACTCCAGTACTGATCTTTCTGATTCTTCCCTTATGTGTAGATGAAAGGCAGGCAATATATGGCACTTTTGCATGTAAATAGCACATTTACATTTTTGGCCAAGTGATCTTCGGGCAACCCAAAAATATTCCTGACATGCCCGATGGGCAAGTGCCTTTCAGACTTTAATGTCAATCCCTGACTCATAACTCTCCCCACTAGGTAATGCTAAAGTGGATTTTTTTCTCAGATTAAAAAATAAATAAAATTCAATTGAGACCCTGTTTTAAATTGAGATGGTTAGTCATGTTCTTCAGTAATATCTGGAGTCTTATCTTGTTACAGACACATCCCTAGGAAGCCCATGGAGGAGACCCAGTCGTTTGTGAACGACACGGCCTACAGGATAGTGCGTCTGCAGGAGGACAACATGGTGCTGAAGCCCTGGGTCCTGATGGCCTCCCTCCTCCTGCAGAACCTGGAGGGCCTGGAGCTGTCTGTGCTGACAGAGCAGACCCTCTGGCTCCGAGGCCTGGCCCTGTCCTATGCTGCCTTCCTGGACTGGCCAGGTAGGATCCACACCCAGCCATAGGCAATGCACATTGATCCCAGTGTAACTCTTCCTTTTAACTTTAACTCATCATTGATTGTGCTTTAACTCTCCGGTTGACCTCAAATTATACAGTAAGCTCATTGATGCTGTTGCTTAGTGTTTTTTTGGAGCCTCAGCACAACCTAGCCTATATATATTTTTATTTAAACCTTATTTTACCAGGTACGTTGACTGAGAACACATTCTCATTTACAGCAATGACCTGGGGAATAGTTACAGGGGAGAGGAATGAGCCAATTTGAAGCTGGGGATGATTAGGTGGCCATGATGGTATGAGGGCCAGATTGGGAATTTAGCCAGGACACCGGGGTTAACACCGCTACTCAGGACACCCGTTTAACGTCCCATCTGTAAGACGGCACCTTACACAGGGCAATGTCCCCAATCACTGCCCTGGGGCATTGGGATATATATTTTTGGACCAGTGGAAAGAGTGCATCCTACTGGCCCTGCAACACCACTTCCAACAGCATCTGATCTCCCGTCCAGGGACCGACCCTGCTTAGCTTCAGAGGCAAGCCAGCAGTGGGATGCAGGGTGATATGTTGCTGGCCAAATATAAATGCAGCACATTTGGTTCACCTCCAGGCAACAAGTGAAGGTCATACATATTGCCTTAGAATGTAATCAAAGGCAAAGTAATTCTCTTTTTTTTTGTTTTCTACTGCCCCACACAAACCTAAAGCTATGTAATCAGGGGGTTGATTGCACTATGGTCGTATTGGAATTTAGCCAGTGAAAGAATCTTAACTTCCTTTCTCAGACAAAAGTGTTTCATGAGCCCTAAAAACATTCTCTACCTGAAAGTGCAGAGTCTCCATTCACTCACTGACTTTGACTGGCCCTATTTTATTTATCACACCCACTGCTCCTGATGCAATATGTTGTTTGATATCCAGTTCCCTTTGATGTCAAAAGAATACATGTTTGAGTATGAGCGACTGAGCTAGCTCTATAATTAGCTACGTGTGAACCTCTGGGCTTGCTAACCAGACCCAGATGATGCTCTCGTGGCCCTTCCAGGCCTCAGAAGTCAGTCCCTTGTCACTTCTCTGGGGATGTCCCCTGCCATCCTTAATGACTCACTGATGTTGTGACAGGATCTGAAGGATCATCTCAGTTAGACACCCTGCGTGTGCCTTCCAGGCAGAGCTAACTGCTGGGCCTCATGTCACCTTGTTACTTTGTCTGACTCCCCTCTCTTTGTTTCTGTCTCTCTCTTTTCTCTCTCTCCTCCAGACCATGCTCCCACAGCGAAGGTTGTGTCGTCCAGCCTGGCTCTCCACAGGGGCTTGGCGTGTGTCTCAGGGGGCCGGATTAGTCTGGTGGTAGGGGAGCCCATGGGCCCGGTGACCCCAGAGGAGGCTCTCTTTAACAGAGCCGTCAGCGTGCTCTCCTGTGCCTCCTACAGGAACCAGGTCCTTCACGTGTTCCTCCGGCCTGCCATGCTGGCTGTGGCCATGCACACCGCAGCCTCCTCTAAGAAAGGTGAGTGGCCTGGCTTTAGGCCAACTCTGATCTCATTAATAATAATAGTACATTCATGGGTTTTATATAGCGCTTCATGGACTAAAATATGCTTATTAGAACTATTTTATTAGGGTTGAAATATAATATATAGCCCCAGTTTGAGTTTCCACTCAATATACCTGATTTTATGTCGTCCCAATAGGGTGCTAGCTAGAATACATGGCTGAGGTTTTGAATGTGTGTTTTCCCAATTAATTAAATGAAGGCTGCATCTTTCAGATGAAGTGTACAACTGCTTTAGCTTCCTTCGGAACATGTTCTCCAATGAGTTCATCTTCTGTCCTGGAGACACTGTCCAGGTAATACTTAAATGCACAGTGATGACTAAAAAATACAACTAAATAATTTAAAGGAATTTAAAATCGTAATAAGTTCTTAGTATGCACTTATTCCTATGGTGAATATCCTTGCAGGACTTTGAGGAGGCGTGTTACCTGCTGGTGAAGACTGGTGCTGTTCAGATGCTGCAGCACAAGATAGAGATGACCGAGAGAGGCCAGCCCACCCTCTCCTTCTTCAATGGCCTGCTGGAACCTTTCCTACAAGGCTACCAGGTACACTGGCCCTCTGTCTAGCACTAATGTAAACATTTTGTCTGAGCATGATACTTCATGATGGCTTTCTAACTTTATCATAACTTAAAACACTTTTTTCTTACATTTTACTCAAAGCGCTCAAGAGACTTGTATATTGACCTGATGATTTAGCAGTATTGTTGACATTGATGGAGTTCCAAAAAGTTGTCAATTAATTTTACAGTGGCAAACTGTCTTGCCAATGTTGTGAAATATGAACTTTCATGACCAGTCTCCAGTAGAGGGAGCTCTATAACCAGAGCATTGTCACGTTATGGCGTTACATGCCGAGTGTCCACAAATCAGCACTGCACATTCCTCTGGATGGTGCCACTCCGTGGTCTTCAGTGGCTGTGTATAAGTTGACTGTGTTGTTGAATTCCTGTGTGTGTCTCCTCTAGGTGGTGTGTCGGTACCTCTGTGAGGAGGCCAGTGAGGGCCTGACAGAGAAGCAGTACATCCCTGCTGTCCGCAGCTTCGCTGTCAAACTCATCCTAGCAGGTGCCTTCACTTCACACTCTAAAATGTTTTGAGTGTGGTCTGGGTTCAGTCAGCAGGATAAAATGTTTAGTTTACCAACAAGTGGAACAGTGTACATTTATTTGGATAGTCTCAAATTAATGGTTTGTAGATGTTCAGTAGATGTTCAACTAACTGTCAACAACATTTTGACTTACTATACACTAACCCTAGCCATAACCCTAACCCTAGCTTTATGTCCACATCCAGCTAAGCTCTAACCCTAAACCTACCCACTGGGCACAGACGTCTGTCTATTCCACATTGGATCAACGTAATTTCATTGAAAAGCTGTGGAAACAACGTTGATTCAACCAGTGTGTGCCCAGTTGGCAGCTTCATGTCTACACCCTTGTGCTTGGTTTAAATGACACAATGAAAACTGCCATCTAGTGGCTGTAGATGCCACTGCCAACTCTCAGATGTGAGCATTCTGTGTTGTGTGTTTTCACAGGAAACCTGAGGTGCTATGAGGTGCTTTCGTCAGACATGCAGAAGAATGCTCTTGCCGCTTTGCTGCGCATGGATGCTGTAAGAAAGGTCAAAGTGTAAGTCCAGTTCAACTGCTCCTATGTCTGGGTTGTGAAGTCTCATTTTGCTGTGGGAATGTTTGTACTGACTGAATAATTTGTTATTTCATTTCAGAGCTGATCAAGTCACTCTCAAAGTGAACAAGATGGCTGTGAACTCTATAGACGATACACTGGGTAAGAGTGGAATTATCAGTCAGATCAATCAGACTCAGATCAGGCTCTCTCTTAGTACTCTAGCAGAAGATATGTATAGAGATGGGTTGACACAAAGTTATATAAGATGATGGTATATTTAATTATATTTGAGTCACACAGGCTTGTGTAGTGCTGTTTCATTTCAAATGGCTGCATCAGGTACTGAGGACCGGCCTACTTACACTTTTTGTTACAGCAGTTGTCATGACCCACTTTGGATGATGTGGCACTGGCACATTCATGACAGCTAACCTATAGTGGATTTTCCATTACACACCACAAGTGTATGAGTCCTGATGGTTGATTTTGTTTTTTGTCTCTTCAGGAGGCAAACTTCCCACTCAGAAAGCTGTCCTCGCTCGACTGTAATTCACTCACTTCGCGGGCCAATGAAAACTCTGGAGAGTAAACTCTGCCTTCATTACCATAATGCCACATTTTCTAGGAGAGCACAGCTTTGCTGACTACAAAGGTTGTTTGTCATAGTTTTTTAAAAGGGACTTCACAGGGTTGCCATCTGGGACACTCTTTTCATACACACACGCTCTTCACATTTTTTATGACAAATAACACCGAAATACTTCTTTAGATCTTCGCTCACACTAACTACGTTTCTATCTAGAGACGTTTTACATTTCCGAGGTTGCCAACCTAAATTAAATAGTAACCATTTTAATTAACACGTTTGATGCAATCCTGTTTGTTTTCTAACACTGCTTGGACTCATTAATATATTGTTCAATTGTTATTTTGGTGTTATGACGCCTGATGTGGCATAGCTGCTTGTGTAGTCTGTCAGAGTTTTTGTATTGTATCTATGTGTTTGTGTGTTGGTGTGGACCGCTCCCTTTCTCCTCCGCTGGGATTGTTGCCTTTGTGTGTGTTTCAGAGAAATCATTGTTACAAAAATGGGGTCGCATCATGTTGTTTATGGACCCAATTGAGGATACCAGCCTATTTATACAAAGTAAACACTGAGTAGATAAGAAATTGTATTTACTATATTTTATTATATCATAAAAACAGATTTGGAATAGTGAGAGTGAAAAAACCCTCTCATGATCAAAGCCAAAGAGTTTGTGATTTCATGAGATATGCTGAGGGTCTAATATCCAAACATGAGAGCCATATGTTGTTTACATCTGTTTAATACACATACGCAGCACTACATATCCAACTGCTATTGTACTGTAGCATCATTGTTACTCTGATATATGATGACTATTGTGTAGTACTCAGATACAACTTAAGACCTAAGATCACACAGGTAAAATGTATGCACGCATGACTGTAAGTCGCTTTGGATAAAAGCGTCTGCTAAATGGCATATTATTATTATGTAACCTGACCACTGAGGATTTGCCCTAATCTCTCCTTTCCTATACTTCCTGGTTTGTTTAGTGTGACTGAAGTATGTTTCTGAACTGTTTTGAAATGACTGTGTTTACAATGCGGATTTGACAAAAACATGAATGTGACCATGATCTCTGTTACCAAGTGCAGCAGATGCATTGACTGCTGGTCTCCTGCCAAAGTATATGTGTCTATGTTACCCTACCAATCTGTCATGTACAGTAGGGTGCAATGTGTATGTGTTTTTGATATGGAATTAATGTTCTAACATTAGTGACTACTGTTGCTGAACAGTAACATTTAACTATATGACCGTGTGTGGCAGTTAACTGTGATCAATGATGCCTTTTGAAGTAAATCTACAGACAGAAAAAGTTATGTAAATAAAGAAGATTTGAAATATAGTGTTCGATGGTCTGACTGTTCTGTGGACTAGGGGAATGTTGTGGGTATCTATAGGCAGAAATGTTTATGACCTTCCCATAGATGGCAGGCTTGCTCCTCTTTCTATGAAATGCTGTAGGTTGTTGATTTCCAGGGAAGTAATGTGGATGGACGTGTCATATCAGGGAAGTATTTTCCATCATGTTGTTTTGTGGTCATGCTGCTGAGTAAGATAATACGGCCAGCAAATCCCCTAGCTTCCATCCATTTTTCTCTGACACTGTTGGGTTCTCTAAAGTCCCCACACTCTATTTACCTTCTCAATCCAGACCTCTGTTGAGCTCTTTTAACAGCTATATCAGCACTTATATTTTTTCTCATGACATGCTTTATTTAAGGGGCATGAACCAGATTAACTCTGTTCAACTGAAGAGCTGGTGCTGGGGCTCTGTGGAGAACAGGTTAGGCCAGTCAGGTCGGTTTCCATCTACAGAAGTGCCGTTAAAAAAAAAAAAAAGTAATGTTTTTAACACCAATCTTTGCTTTTCCTATTACTCTTCTGACCCACCTCTTAATTTGGTCTGTATTGGGTTTATGTTAGTGTGGCCTCATCATGAATGTGAGATATATTCACTGAAACGGGTTGATGCCTAGTAGTTAACCTTGGACAGTCTGATTGATTTAATTAATTTCCTTGAATACTTCCTGCCCAAATACAAACACCATTAGCCTTGACAATTTTCATAGGTAACCTTGTGGCGTAATATCCACCTGAGCATATATGACAGTGATATAATGCTTTGCATTTCAGAAAAATATTTGATTCAGCCTTCCTATGCTATGATATCTAACACCTTGATTGGCGCAGCAGGGACTGGAAGTAGTTGTTTGAAGACTCAAAAGACAAAACATGTTGTTTCATGACACAGTCAGTGACATTAGGTAGAGAGCGGAGTTGTTGACATGGCAGAGAGACGCCACTCCCCACGCTCCTCTGAGAGCCTGCCCCTGCGTGTTAGGAGTCTAATTCGAAATGTCTGCCAAGTGAGGATGTCCCACGTTGTTGAACACATTGTTTCAACTTTCACCAGGGAGTGGATCCATTAGCAGTCAGTTCATACACCGCCCTCCACTCCCCTCTCAGAGTAGCGTCTCGGTTCTGTGGGATTTCTGGAGATGCCAGTTTGACGGGAAAATAAATAATAATCCTTGGATGGCGACCGCAATGAAGTGACAGCCTAGAGAAAATGTAATACAATTCAATGCCATCTAATTTAAGTGGTGAGCCAGAACCCCCCCAGAGAGCAATCAAGCTCTCTTTATTTTTGTCATGATCTCCAAAGTACACATTATAAAGGAAAAAAGGTATTTGGTAAACTGATGGATCTGCCATAGTGTGTTCCTGCAACACCTTTACCCCCCTGGGCCTGATGCAGATAATGATAAACTAAGTTGTACTCAAAGTAGAAAGCATCTGCCGTGAATATGTGGGGAATGATTGCAAAGAGAATGTTTATCCATTCTATGTTTTTGTAATACTGTATATAGTATTTGTATATTGTCTTTAAACTCAGTGTTGCATTTATCAGGGCCATTCGATACGCAGTGAAAGTATGGCATTATCCACACTTCATTAGAAAGTGCCTTCTCCGTGTCGTGTCTGTGGGCTTGTCTTGTTCTCTTTACCCCCTGGATGTCATTACTGTCAAAGAACATCCTCTCAAGGGGAGATATTAAAGCTGATCTACCCCCTAAAAAAGAAAACATCCTCTCAATTTGGTATTTCCTTTGCTGTACTGAGAGACATGAGGATCTCAACATTACCTGTGAAATCTGAAGGTACATTGATGAAGGTACAAGATGTGGAAAGGTAATGTGACATCTATTCATCGTAAAGGCGCCTGCATTTAGCTGTGTGCTCTTTAACTCATATGTAATAGAGTATATTCATTCTACCCTATGGATTAATAAGCTCCCATTATACAAAAAAAACCCATCATTATACTATTTCCTGCTTTGATTATTCAAGGGGAAAATGCAGATTGCTGGGCACAATGGAGAGTTGTATATATGTTAAGTGCATAAGCCACAGAGAGGAAATGACATCTAATGATCTTTTGTATTCAATGTCTCAATAAGGAAGACACTTTTTATACTGCGGTTATGTCAATTGGTTGGTAATTCTCAGATTGTTTAGTCTATATAACAAGTCTTCTCTCCTATGCCTGCCCAATGATTGTAGTCTACATGCAGCACATTACTGGAGTTAACTTCTACTGGATTTCCTCCTCCCACCTCCTATATACCCTCGCTATATTTAATCAGAGTCGGTTCATGATGCATTGCCTAGCCCTGCCCTCAGGCAACTGCATTTCTGCATTACAGGAAATGTAATTATGAAATTACAAAGCAGCAGGCTGATCAGCACAATTCAAATGAGTGGGTACACAGCATTAGGCTTGCTGGCTGTGGCCTTCCCAATTAGCATGACAAAATGAGTTCCATTGGGTCTCAATGAGCCCTTTCATTAAGTGAATAGCGAACCTTTAGTTAATTAAAATTAGTGGATAGGTAAACTTCCCTTCTCGTTTTATGAGTGCACTCGGCTGCCAAAATGGTTTTTATAATTACAATTACACTGATCCTCTCTTTTTCTGTCTCCAGAGGCCTGTATGAGTGTATAGGGAGGAGGATAGCAGTCCGATGCTATGGTAAATGAGAGTGATAATATATAAAATATGGATATCAGCCTTCTGAGCTGCACTGTCATAGTGGTTTGATCAAATCTAATTTGAAACATCCTATTGTCTTAAATTGGATCAGTGATATTAAGTTCTGACAAGAGAGACATGAAGATGGGTGATGTTTGAATTGTTTGATTGAATATGTTTCTCCTTGTTTAAACAGTTTGTACATCCATCCATCCATCTACCAACAACCTCTGGCTGTTTTAATTGACTTTGTAGTCCTCCTGCCGGCAAACACAGGTGCATATAGCCCCTCTATTTCTGCTCCAGTGACCACTAGCTAAACAGATGACACACAGAAACTTTACAGTGATGCATTCTAGCAGTAGACTGTGTAAATAGCTAAGTCTTCTCACTGCAGACAGTTGTCCTTCTCCCATTCCAACTTGATGTTGCATCGCGTCTGCAGAGGAATACATATGAGGTTGACAACGTCAGCGTTCAGATGGCCTGAAGGGTACACTGCTGGCTGATGGGGAGTGACTCACATGGACTCCATTCTCCCTCCCAGACAATGACTGGGAATATATGTGAGAGAAAGGAAGCCAGCTAGAAGAAGTTCCCAGATTGATATTGCTTGGTGCTCCCACTGGATATCTCCATCTGTAAATATGTTTAAACACACATTTGGATGTGATTCTATATAACTAATCCACTGAAATTATGAACGTACAGTACATTAGAGAGTGTTTGTAGCACTCACATCTGTAGCCATGAAATGCTTTGAAAGGCTGGTCATGGCTCATATCAACACCATCATAATAATAATATATGCCATTTGGCAGACTCTTTTATCCAAAGCAACTTATAGTCATGCGTGCGCACATTTTACACATGAGTGGTACTGGAAATTGAACCCACTATCCTGGCATTGCAAGCACCATG